GTAGCTCCTAAGTCCAAAAAGTCTAATCAGACTGTCCGGGAAGCCAACTATCAATAGGGCGGATGTCTTAACTGGGGCAGAGTCTAAATGAATGTTTATCATGGGGGTTTCACAGTGGCACTTCTTGTAACTGAGTTGTGCTCAAGGTGACAGAATCATACTTTAGGAAGTTGCTAAGGCTTACCTAGAAATGCTACAGCACCAGGCACACAGCCACAGGGTGCACCGATCTCTCCCCCTGTGCCTTTTATCAGCACTGTGATCTCATTAGCGGGGGACAATGTTGTGCAAAGTTTAACCTGCTGCTAATTCCTGGCAGAAGAACAGATAGAGCTGTTGGTTACATTTTTGGTCTGCTGACAGCCAGTATCGAGTGCTCCTATTGAGTACTCTAGCCAGCCAGGCTGTGATGTCCCTTGAGACTCAGCCAGCACCCAAGGGATCACTTGGCAATCCAAATTAGGTGGATGCCTGTCACCCGAGCTTGCTGCTGAGATTAAATCTACCCTAAAATTCACCATGAATCAATAACTATTCCTTCCACTAGATTAAAGAACACCCAGATGCATATGTTATGGGGGAGAAATCTCAGAGGGACTGAGTGAAATTCTGGCGGGTGCCACTCTTATTCACCTCACTTCTTCCCACAGTGCCTAGTTAGACTATGGAATTCACTGCAACAAGAAGTAGTGATGGCCACCCACTTTAACAGTTTTAAAGGGGACTGAACATGGGACCACGGAGTCAAGTCAATTCCAGCTGGCACCCCAACTTCTTTCCTTCCCTGGTGCTAAATCTAGATGACCCCAAATGCCTGTCTAGATAAAATGTGGGGTGTAAGAAGATAATTACCATGCTTTGCACCTTGCAACTGGATGCTCCTCAGATCCTGAGCTCTGAGCTTTTGATGCCGTTGAGCATCTGCCGCAAGGTCAATGGGATGGAAGGGCATGTTTATCAAGCACTCATCATGGCCTATTACTGTGACTACTGTTCTCTCAGATGGCAATTCCATCACCCAGGAAGAGCTGCAAGTACACAATGAGATGAACGATATTCCAAAACCTGACCAGAGTGGGAAGAAATTAACAACCATTGAAAAGGAAGGGAGCTTTTATCAAAGAACAAATTTTTGATTTTAAGGTATCTTGTAAAAAGATTTCAGAATTGGAATCATTTGAAGACTCTAAGAATGGAAAAATGCTTGTGCCTGTAAACTATGTCAAGAATATACAGAGGGAGTGAACAAGCACCCAAGGATGGCAATGTACCATGTTCAAGTGGTACGTGCTACCAATCAGAACTTGCCACAAAGTCTCTCATTGCTGTTGTACCAGAACTTATGATTTGGAAGGCTAACACATTAACTTTAGACCTCAACTTCTACGTATGAGTGTATAACTTGAAGCTGCTGCAGTCTGTGTTTCGGGAAGCAAAACAGCTTCCATAACTTCATGATTTAAGGTTTGTGCAGCACCAGGCCCACCTCATTAACAGCACGTTATACAACTGACCTGGATGCCAGAAGGTTTGGAAAATGTTTAAGGAGACTGGAGACAGAAAAGCAGGAACCGTGGCTTTCTGAAAATATGGGATGATAAGCGAATTTGGTTAACAGAACTTATGGAAGACATTTACTAAGTTCTGGAGAAAAATCTGCAGTATTGTGACCTTATTTTTCCAGACATACGTGCAAAAATTCTGTTAAGGAAGGAAGGAAAGAAGGAAGGAAGGACTGTTCCCTGGGAAACATCAATCTGAAGACGAATTTAACATTTGTAGTCATTTTGAAAGCAGATAACTTATAAGGAATGAGTTTGTTACAACAAATGGTTGAAATGCAAGTACGATTCATGTGGAAAAGATGCAAGCAGCAGATTATTTATTTATTTATTTATTTATTTATTTTAGCAGCATCCATTTGTCTGCTGTCAGAGTTCTGCCATTAACACAAGTACTCTTGCAGTTTGTGAAGACAGGGTTGGCTCTGCATGCCAGACTATTCCTAGGAAGGATAGGCTGTTTGCAGATGAAGCATGTGAACGGTGGCCAGTAATTTCTGAAGTGCCCCCGTTTCTCACATGACAGCGATTCATGTTCCATCAGTGTGTTTTTAACCAGGTGTTGCACAAAACCTCAGTGATGGGGCAAAAACTGTTGGAAACAGTCACAACTCTAGTGCTAAGTGCAGGGCAAACTGAAAGAATGTTGTCCCTGAGTGATCTTATGTGAGTGTCACATAAATGAGTAAGATGACACAAGTGGCTAATGCGCAGCTAACTGTGGCTCTGAATGGGACAGATTCTATTTTTGCCTCTGGTCTGCTCTTGTCCAGTTTCTTTCAACCAGAGACAGAATTTATGCTAAGCAGAATTTTGTAAAACAAACTAAAACAAAAAGTTGCATTTAAAGGCCAAGTTTCTTTAAACTGCAACTTTAACATGCATGTTTCATGACATTTCTTTATTTAAATAAATGTGTTTTTTCACATTTATTTACAGCATTTGTATGTCTCTTCATGTCTAATCAGATTCACTCCTAAACATTTTTTAGACCGAACCATAAAAGAATAAAACAAACAAAAGCATAAAAACAGTGCATTAAAAACAGGATAATACCTTAATCCTGCACGTTGGGGTAAATGGTATAAGTAGACCTATAGTCTAATCCCGCTAAGACATTGTCAAACTCTGTCTGGTAAACAGTGCCCCCAAGTTTCAGTCTTCTGCCTTTTACAATGTTCTTTTGATAAACCAAGATATGCTTGGAGTAACATAATGTCCCCAAATTTGCTCAAGAATAGTTCTGCAATGAACTTCTATAACCTGGAAAAGTCTCTTAAAAAGGCACAGGGGTCGACTACAGATCATTTTAGTCTCTTCCAAAAGCCAAGAGTATGAGCCAAATCTTCAGCAAACAAAATTAAATCCAGTGAGAAAAGCTTTTTATGATGATTAAATGTTTTCAAACCAAACTATTATTATAGAATTTTATTGTTATGCATAGCTGCAGGAAAGGTTAAATCTTAATCATCTGTACTATGGGAAAGCTGAAAGTCATTTTTATGCTTATTGAAACATCCAGAAGGAAACATGTAGCCAAAGATGTTTTCATATGCCTTGACTGAGGCACTTTTGCCTGGGGTCAAAATTGACCCCTTATGTGACCAATGCTAAGTTATGTATCAATGCAGGGTAAAGATTAAAGGCATGGTTGATCATGAAGAAGGCTTCCTGGAGCAATGACATCTTCATCAGGCACCAAAACACAGTTAGAGGCAGGGAGTTTCAGAGAGATCGGCTCCCTGGACTCTTGCCCACATTACTGCAGCCATGAAATTCCTGGCAAGCATTCCCATAATTCATGTGGCCTTTGCCAGGAATTGAGGCCTTCATTGACACTGCAGAAGTGGCATCTGTCTTTCATATCATGTGCAGTAGCCTTTGATTGTGCTGAACATCACAATGAAGAAGGCTGCAAGTAGTGCAACCTTCAATTCTGTGAGTGTTCATAGACTTCCTCTCAGGTCTGCTTACTTTCTAAGGTAGGGATGATCACAAGGAGAGGTTGACAGACACTACAGGTATGACTTTCTCAGAGTTTCATCACAACACTATTTGTATCAACAACACAGTGGCCAAGCTATCCCTATCCAGGACAGGGTGTAGCTGGTGAGCAAAACAAATGAAAATTAAATGGTCTTTCTCTTTAAGATCCCTGGTGAAAACTCCTTCAAAAAAGCCCTGTTCAGTCATACACACATTTATTTGACATTTGTGTCATTTGACTTCTAAAATCAGTAACTCATATGGGTCCTGGAATCATGCTGCTGCCACTTCTCAAAAACAGAGTCCTAGAGAGTTCCAGACCCTGAGTAGTCTCTACCTGAAAACCTGCAAGGAAGGGCACTGAACAGCTTTATTCTAGGGCTAAACTGCCCACGAGGCTAGAAATGTTGCCCAGTTACAGTATTAGGTGCTGGGGACAAAAAGAAAGCAATAGCTACCAACACTGTCCTTTGCATATAACTTCCCAGAGGTATCTGGTTGACCAACACAGTCCAATTCTCCGCAATTCCTAGACATTGGCAGCGATGGTTGGGGCTGATGGGGAATGAATTCCAAAGCATCTGGAAGTCATCAAACGCATAGCAGCTGGAAACCAGACAACTTGGTGGTAGGGTGAAAGAACCAGGGAGTTTGAGATTGGTGAGACTCTCCATACGTCAATTCAAAACTTAAGACTGTTTTGCTTCCACTCTCATTTGTGACCTGCTTTTGTGGAACATTCAGTTGGGAAAGTACACATTGTCTAAAGCATAGTCAGTTCTTTCATAAGCATATTTTTCAAAACACACATTTTGAAAAGTAATCCCAAGTTTGAGACTTCACAACCATTCCTTGAGAAAAAAATGTTCCTGTTCATGCACATAATCAGGATTGTGAGCAGGTCAATTTGAATGATTTGCAAAGTACGGCAAAATTCTTTTATGTCCCTGAGAACTCTCATAGATGGACCTTTGGTCTAACCAGGCATGGAAACCGTCTTTGGGCAGAGTGTCTGCGCAGCTCCCAAATGGTTTCATTGCGGCAGTGAGGCAAACTGAGGGGTTTCCAAGCCTGGAGAACATGTGCAGAGGTATAGCTAAGACTCTTCCTCAAAGGCCTGGGCTGGGCCTTTTTTGGGAGGGGGGGTACCTAAAGAGGCATATGTCCATCTCTCTCCCCCCTAGTTTTGCTTTCAGGCAATCTCTATACTCTGCCGGTTTGGCACTCTGCTCTCTCTCCCCACCCATTCACATCACCTTTGCAAATCAGGAAGTGGGATGTGGTGAGGTCTGGGGCTTTCTTGCTGCTGGCCTTGCAAACCCTACTGAGACTTTGAGCCCGATCTCACTTTGACACGGCAAAGGAGCTGCCACTTCCTGTGTTAAGGTAAGCTCCGTGAGTGAGTGAACGCCTGAGGCTCGCTGCTTATGCAGAACTGACTCTGTTCTAATGCTGCCAGCTCTTTATTCTAGGAGAGCAGCGGCTGTATGCAGAATTTGAGGCCAACTGCCTGGGCACTGAGGGGTACCCCAAGTGGCCAGGACCAACATGGCAACTCCAACCTGACCCACATTGCTCGGAGGCAAGAGGACAATAATGCAACCAGGTAATGTATAATGGGATTTAAAGGGTCTCCATTGGGTTGGCTGAGGAGAGAAGGAATGGCAAAGAGCTTTCAAACGAGTATTGGGTTTGCTTAATGAGGCACAGCATAGGAGAATCCCCCCTTGTAACTTCTCCCCTCCCTCACAGCTCTTAAGACTTAGGACCTCTTAGTCAAAACTGGTCAACCAGAGACCCCAAGCTTATTGCTTGTGACTAAGACTGTGCAGCTCTGAACACACTCACTAGTAAATAAGCCTTACTGAACACAATGGGTTGGATCCTGACTTACATACGTAAAGCCAGTCTATTGAAATCAATGCAACTGAAGATAGTCATGACCTGTGCAAGTCTGCTTGGTTTCAGTAAGTCTACTGTAACTATGACCGAGTCTAGATCCAACCCAGTAAGAAGGTGTGCAAAGGATTGTGCTGCATGTCCCATCGAAAACAACAGGCTAGTCATAATGCATTTGTTCCATTGGTTTCAAGGGGGCTGAGGACCAAACTGTATGGTCATGTGTTTAAACAATTCACTGGGCTGCTTTTGGTTTGGAGGAAAGTAGCCCTGGGATCTTGCTTCAGAACATGATTCTGCATCATTTTCCTCTTGGAATTTGCTCTCTCCTGGCTACTTGTTGCTCATGGAAAGCAGCTTTGCAGGGTAAAAAGCAGCCAGGGAGACATCTGCAGGAAACTGGCACAGGGCACAATCTGGATAGGGACTATAGTCCAAATCGGTACCCCATCAGCTTTGTCTCCAGAGGAGAAATGGCCAAGTTAAGCCCCTTTCAGACATTGCTCCTCAACCTGCCAATGTTAGGAACAGGGAGGGCAAGCCAAGCCACCGTGCATGGGGATGTTGGGGGCAGGGCCTGCTCCTGCTCCTGCATTCCTCCGCCTTTTTAGGGCTCAGGTGTGCAGTCTTAATGCCTACCTGGGATTTTGGGTTAACCATGAGGCTATGAATGGAACATCTGTGTTCAAAAGCGGTCTGATTACCAGCTACTGAGAAGAAGCTACAGAAGGCTGGACCATTTCCATTATGCCCAGCTTATTGGACTGGCCACTTCTGGAGGCAGGCCACTAGTCTAGGTGGCCCTTTATTAGACCAGATAGACTTTCAAGCAAATAAATTAGACGGACTTCGCTAGCCCAGGTGGACATTTTGTCAAACATGGAAAGCAAGTTCTTACATCTGGGTTCTTACAGTCTGAAATCAGTAGCCAGGTGTCCATGTCTCCTACTTTACAGATGGGAGACCTCTGTTTGAAGGCACTCTCCTCTGTCTGAAGGGCTGCCTGGTTCAAGGGCAAGAACCAGCAGAAGGACCATCCAGCAGGGACCTTGAGGTTGTCTGCCTACAGTCAGCACCTGGACAGCAGACTGAGCAGGCAGACACACAGGTCACCTGGTCTTGGGCTTCTGCACCCTGCTCAGAGGTAATCTATTTCTTCTATTTAAAGAATAGTAATACTTAGTCCTGCACTTGCACCTATACATATGAATGAGCATGTGTGAGTTTCATGTCCTCCTGTGTCTTCTTTTTATGATGATTTTCCTTTTTTCTGGCACTGCACAAGAGGCCCCTATCCTTAGCTCATTCCCAGGTTTATTCAAACCTCTTGGCTCTCCTCACTGAACAAATGCTATGCTTTGCTTTCACACAAACTTTGTAACTCCCAAGGAGAGGCATCGCAATTGCATGTAAATAAATGGTGGGACAGATATACAACCAAATTGTATATGGGCACGTTAATTTGGGAGAACTGACAAGAGATCTTTGGCAGTTCAGCAGTAAAGAAATGTAACACACAAATGGATGAGAAGAGCTTCAGAGAGATTTGGAATGGTGAAGCATCAAACAATTTGTAAAATTTGTAAAAGTGCTAGGCTTTCTAGTCTCTGTTTCTGTTTAACCTTACATAGCCTTGTGCCCTCAACTTCCAAGCAGACATAGACAGGAGTATGAGGGATGAGAGTTTAATCAAATGGTTGCTAAAGGTAAACTTTACGCTACGCTTTAATTAAATGTTCTTTTTAATCTATATTCTCTCATCATTAGCTGACTAGAGTGCCATTTTTGGAGGAAAGGAGGGCTATGAATGACAGTTTTCTCTCGTGCTAGTCCCACAACCTCTCTGCCCTGGTCTGATGACATACCCCGTTTCTTGTACATGCCATTCCCTGGTTGTGACAAAGAAACTGTTTGCAACTATGCTGAACAATGTTCTGCTGCCCAAGTAGCTCTCAGTGGTGAGTAGAAACATTCATTCCGAGACAGCTTTACTGTGAAACCTTCCACTATGAAAGCCTAAATGTCAGCACTGCTGATTAGTGTATAATTACTGAGAAACTACCCAGGAAATGAGATATAACAAACATCTGCACACAATCTATTGAGTAGCACCTTTTCTTGATAAGCATTTGTGTCAGGAGATCAGGTTGGCACTTGGGTCTCAGATCCATGATATTGTACAATCTCACCTAAGCTTGGTGAGAACCATTTATCCAACTGGTAGTGTTGGCACAAGACGTTTCTCTGCTTGAGAAAAAGCAATACATGTTTCCTATCCTGCCAGGTGAATATTCATAATGTCAGAAACCAACAAAGTTACATTGGCATCTGAGGTAGAAAATCTCACAAGCATCTCTCCTCACCCTTGGCAGTACAAATCTAATGAGTTAGAATCAGAGAGTCACAGAATCATGGAACAATAGATTTGTTGTGTCTGTGATGGGGCAGTATGGAAAAGTTTTAAATAAATAGATAATAAAATTAATAGAGTATGAAGGGGCCAATAAAGCCATGCCCAAATTCTTGCTCAGTGAAGGCCTCAAAGCTGAAGCATCCCTAACTGATGGTTGTCCAGATGCACCTTGAATGCCTCCAATGTTGGGAAGCCCATGACCTCTCTAGGTAATTGTCAGGATATTCTTCTTGATGTTCAGCTGCGACCTGGCTTCCTGTAACTTGAGCCTATTATTCTATGTGCTGCCCTCTGGAATGATCAAGAAGAGATCCTGGATCTAGTCTTAGAGATATTTAAACTGGCCCATTGAAATCAATGGGAAAAAATAGGATTTGCTTGAACCCAATAATAGTAATAGTAATCAATTAATACCCAAGCATTTGCTGATTTTCATAACACCATGAATAAGCTGCCTGAGATACTTGCCCCTCCCTCCCCAGTGATAGGGCAGTCATATTGTGAAAGGGTGGTGCAGCTAGGACTGAAGTTCAGGGCTGAATACCAGGTCTCTGCAGGCCAAGGGCTCCAGAGGACCACCCAGAGAATTGCTTATGATAGAGCAATGGAAAACAGGCCCTGACTTAGCACCTGGGCTAGCACAGGTATGCCGGAGCTTACCAGGGCTGAGGATGGTTGCCATAATACCTTTTCTTTTTTATTTATTCTAAAAAAAACTTTTACAGCTGGGGATAGCCAGGCTGGCATATACATAGTTAGGGATACTTATTCCATTATTATTCATCTAAAGTTAATTGGCCTTTGGTACACAAAATATGTTTATTCCTCAGTAAATGTGGGTAACATCAAGGTAGTAAAGGCATACTCCAATTTTGTTCCTGTAGGCAAGATGGTGCTATGAATTAAGTGAGTTTAAAATGCAGACAGGGCTGTGCAAAGCCACCTCTCCCCCATAAAAACATTAAACACGGGGTCTAAAATTAGCAGCACCACTAGTGCTGTTACGGTCCCATCCACAGAGAAGTATATGTGCTTGCGGTCAGGATTTCACTTTGATAGCCTCTTTTCTCTTCAGCAGCATTTCACCCTGCAGTCATGAAGACCAGCCGTCTGAAGCTGCTGTGCATTCTGTCTTTCTTGCTGGCCTCAGGAGCTGGGCAAGGTAAGTTGGGGTCCTCCAAATATTACAGAAATATAAATGTATATGCCTGTGCTTTTCCAGCTTGGAAGACTCTGAGAAAATCAGTGATATAGATAAGTGTCCAACAGGCACAAGCAAGCTTCTTGTACAATGCTCGGCTACAAAAGACCATTGAGTGTGCTCTTGGGCATGCTCCAGGGACAGGAATAGATCCCAGGAGGCCTGTCCACTACCCAGTGCTGCCTCCAGGTTTGGAAAGGGGGACTTGGAAAAGAGGACCTAGTGAGCATCCTGCAGCAGTGGGTCAACCTTTGCCTCTTGCTGATGTTACTGTCCATAGGTTGTGCTCCCCTTCAAACCCAAACATTGAGAAGGCAAGGGCAGAGCCTGGTTCTTGCTCCTGTCACTGACTGGCTTTGCAGGGCACATGACAAGCCATTGCTGCCCACCATGGATTGTACGAACCTGGATCATTTTCACCAGGGTGGCTTGTTCATGGATGACTAGGCACCCCAACAACCCATGGGCTGTTGTTGGGGCTATCATTGTGCCTACAATTCATCATCATGTCATCTGAACCCAGACAACTGAGCCCATGATGGGTATAAGAAATCAGCTAACAAGCTCTTGGGCAAGAATGTTCTTTTTAAAAAAGGAAAAATTATGCCGTTCTTCACAAATGGTTCCCAAGTGACTGCCAGTCCCTGCTCTCCCCAAAATGACAACTTTGGGGTCAGCTGGCATCTCATCCTTTCTTCCATGATCATAAGCCATTTTAGGTACACTGTGGCTTTTTCCTCTTTACCCTTTTTCCAGAGATAAATAAAGGCTCTGTATTTTGCAATGTTTGTTTAGACAGCCATTAAGAGAACATTCCAGCTACCTAAGTGGCATCTTGAAAGTGCTGTCTATGGCTGTCAGAATTGCAAAAGTTATTTCAAAACAGAGCCGCACTTGTACAATTGTGACCTTTCACAGTTATGCACATTTGGAGATTGGAAGCCTCAGCTGAGGTGCAGCAGGCACTAACCCCAAACGTCAGCCAGACACAGGTTCTAATTGAATGTCAAGAGATGAGTTGACAAGAGAAACAGAAAGTGCAAGGAAACTTGGTTTGCAAAATGAGGTGTTCAGGAATTTACACTGAGAGGCTCCAGAAAAAGTGGAAACTGTGCACCAGCATGCTGAGAGATGTGAATGGGCAGAACAGATCTACTGACTGGAGCTACTGGCTGAAGCTCCCTGCCAAATGTACACATGTCTCAAGCTGGCATCAGCTGCCCCATAACAAGTGGGAAGGCATCACAGGGAATTCTAGCTTCTGTGTGTGTGTGCGAAAGCCCCCTTGGTGGCATAGCTCAGCCCAGCATTTTCCTTGTGGCACTGGATGTGATGCCACAGTGACCGTCCCTTACATCTCTTCCTTCACAGGATCTGCCAGTCTGCATTGCTCGTTTGACTCCATGGAGTCTGTCATTTGCTCTTGGACCCCAAAGAAAAATGTCACAGGCGCACCATGCCAACTCACAGCTTCCGTCAACTATGTGTGAGTAATTAGTCAAATGCATATCAATGGCAGAGAATAGGTTTCTTAGTCTAGATCAGCCCCTTGCCTTGCCTTCTGCCACCCTAAGTCTGCAGAAGCCATTTGTCAAAGCCAAGAATCGCACATTGCGTCCTTTTGCCAAGACAACTTTTATTGAGTAGAAGAGATACATCGAATACTTGCCTCTGATGGCTCTCATAGAGTCTGCCAGGATCTTGAGCTGTTCCATCTGTTTAGCCAGGAAACAGGAGATTGGCAAAATGACTAGAACAGCCATTATCGTTTGCTTTCAGTTTTGGTACTTTCAGTGACTCCATGAACCTGTCTTCTCCAATTCTTCCTAGGCTAGCTTTCCCCAACCCAGTACCCTTTAGAAGTGTTTGATTACAACTCCCATCATCCTTATGTAGCCATGCACATCTGGAGGGTACCACATTCCAGAAAACTATTCCAGTCAATAGTCTGTCAATCTATCTGTTCGGTCAATCTTAGGGATAGACAAAGCTGTCAGTTTTGTTTTCATTCAGTTTCTCATTTCTCTTAATTTTGTTCCATCTCATTACTGCATCAGAAAAATCTGTGCAAAACTCCATTTCCATGCTCAATTTCTCCTAATTTTTTCTACTCACTTTCCCCTTAGCATTATTCCAAGCAATTTTTCCCAACATGATGCATTTTGTTATGTAATTTTCACTAATTTTTGCAGGCACATCTATTTATTGATCTGGAGAAATGCATCACAACATTTGAAAAAGAGAAGTTTTATTTCATTTATTGACTTGGAAATTATGAATTAAGCCCATTCATATTAAAATGCAAACTGAAGAAGTTTCTCCCTGATCCCTGTTTATCATGTATGATAGGCTGTTGCTTAATGCTGGTAACAGTATGTCATGGCTCGCATACATGAACGAACCAGCACCAGCACCAGCACCAGCACCAGCACCAGCACCAGCACCAGCACCGTGCTTGTATGGACACCGTAATCCAGGCTGTCTGTGTTTCATGGATTGTCAGGTACCATTCATTCCACTGACCATGTATTGATGGAGTTGTGCAAATCTGCCCCCCAAAAATGCTCAAATTCCCCCCCCCCCCGCCAGATGTGTAAATTCATGAAAAATGTGGATTTCACACATTAGCCTATAGAGGAAATATGTATTTGGGGCAGGTTTTTATTTTGCCTATCTACCTATGGGCAAATTTGCATTGAATTATGTACAAAAAAAATCCCAAATCATCCATAAGTCTATAGAGTCCTTGTGCTTCATGAAAAGCTGGTCTGCTGCAGAACATCTACATTGGATTTTTAGGCATTCAAACTCATTCAAATTTGTTTCAGGTTTCTCTGACACCCTGAACCAGCTACAGTGCCATAGTTCAAAAGCTCATATCAAAAGCTCACAGTGTTTTTCGATGTGGAAACTTTGCGCAACAGTCAACCGTTAGACACCAAAGGCTGGTTCATGCACATATATGCTTCCCTGGCATTCTTTACATTTTCATTGCTCTTCATATAGGCTCACTTCACAGACATATATACTTTCCTTTCATATGTACTTTCACACATATATACTTTCCTTTCATATATACTTTCAGCTTGATTAGCCCACAGTTTACCCTTGATAAATTCTGTGAAGGTTTTCTTGGGACTTGGTAGATACTGAAGACAACTAAGGTGATAGACAGCAACTTCAGCCCACACCATGTGTGTATTCCAATCTATGGCTACAATCTACCCACCTTTTTATAAATCTAGATGCATATCCTCTCCATTTGGAACCCTTATGCATATTGTGGATATACAACCTAAAATTCTAAAAATAGCATTTTTCCTATTTTTTTACAACCTTTTCCTCCTGCCATCCCAGAGTTTGCCAAATCATAAACATCTACCTTTCTCTCTGTGTGTGTATGGGGTAGGGAGCGGGTGCAGCATGATGATTGGCAGCTGAATGTGACTCAACCGAAACACATTTAAGTTCTATCTATGGTGCTAGGACAGCAGCCCACGAATATATGTAGATTTTCCCTTGGCACAGCAGCTGCAGTTAGTTGCCCCAAAGGAAAGCACACAGAGGTGGTTTTAACGGCTGACCCACTGGGGCTGGAGCCCTTGATCCTTCATTTGAAGCCCCTGAGCCAGGGAGGGCCTCTGGCCACCACCCTGCTATCCATGGGAACCTGCTGAAAGAAAGGTGCTCTGATCTGTGTTGCACCTGATCACCCTCCAGCTTGCGCCCACGTGTGCTTCAACCCCTGCTTCCCCACAGCCTTGAATATTTGCTGATGGAGCTTTTCCCTGAAATCAAATGTTTCCTCTCATGTGCCCATACATCCCTGCCTGGATCCTTTAAAGGTACACACTGAAAGAATGAACAAATGCAAATCAGCATGTATGAAAATGTGTTTTTTGGTTTTGGCCTGTCAGCCTGAACTGTGGAATTGTTTGGTATCTAGCATCTCCCCTGAACAAATGGATGGCAGACGGGTGGGTTCACTGTATTCATTATGCCCGAGATAATGCAAGGCTGAGCATGCTGTCTTTGGCATGATATCCATCCTAGTTCATGCATACCTAGAAGTCATCCTCACTTCATAATGTAGACATCAAGCAATGAGCAGGGAATGTTGCCTTGACAGTCAGAGCTGAACGCCCCTGCCGCTTTTCCAAGCTGAGTCAAATGGAAACCTAATGACTGTCGGAAAGGTGGACATTTAAGTTTAAGATTCCCAGGGATTCAAGGGGATTCAGCTCTGACTTTCAAGGCAGCAGTTGATGTAAAACTGCTGCCTTGAAAGTCAGAGCGGTTGATGCTGATGTAAAACAGGGTACCTGATTTGGGCTTTCAAGTGGGCTATCTGATTGCATCTCATTGAATGTCAACAATGCACTGTTGATTTACCCTTGCTTACCTTCTTGTTTTGAGGTGTATCCCTAAAATCATGGACAGAAGAAATTCACTTTTATATACATGTAAAAGTGTGTAAATTACAGACACATCTGCTATGACTGGTTGTAGCTCCTTCTGAGAGTGTATTCAGAAGCAAACCTAGGTTTGCTGTAGTGTAATATGCAAGCTCAGAGTAAAAGGTCCTGAGTACCTCTCTCCAACCTGGGAACCTCCAGATGTATTTAGCACCAATATCCATTATCCCCCAATTGCTATAGTGTTCGAGATTATGGGAGTTGTAACCGAACACATCTGGAGGGTGCTCAAGAGGGAAAAGCTACCCTAGAAAGTTCTGTGTCTTACAGGAATTGTATCTTACAGGAAAAAAGCTCAGACGTGCCACCTGCATGGTACAGACACCAGAAACTGTGAGCTGGTCCTTAAGGTGAGTATGTAAAGGCTACATCAGGATTACCCACCAGCCCCACACACCGCAAATCCAAGAGTGCACCCAGTACAGAGATGTGCCTGACTTACCTGCCCACTGAGAGCTACCTGCTGGAGTATACTACTCCATAGGAAGCATTGTTCTAGGTGGGCCTCCTTCCAATCAGGTATAAGTGCAATGTAAGCCTCCCAGCTTTAACTCAGAAAGGAAAGAAAATCTATGCTGCAGCTACCAGATATTTATGAAATTCCAGTTAATAGGCCCTAATGACACATATTATTCTTTCTGAATGTTCTTTCCAAAGACACTAATGATTATCATAAAAAAGATCGTGGTCATAATGCCTACCCTTTCATGTATCTTCAGCGCTACAGCTTGACCGTCTCAGATGCCATTGCCTTGGTCGTGTCTTGCCGTGTTGGAGAGGACTGGGAGAATGTTCAGAAAGAGACGTTCAAGCCCTTTCAGAACAGTGAGTGGAAAGCCCCTGGATTTCAGTTCACGATGCCATGCATTGTGTCCACTTGCCAGATCATGAAACACCTTTGCATATCCTTGACCCTTGAACCTTTAAGTACTGACTTCTGCAGAGCCAAATTAATGTTCAGCCATGAAAAAGAGAAGATGAGCTTATCCCACAGCCAATAGTAAGACCTACATGCAAAGTGCCTTTAGTGGGTAGCCACTGGAGGCGTTGGATACCCCCGACTTATCATCATGCTGTTAGGATCTCAGAGATCTTTCCAGGATCTCAGCCAGAAGTCTTTGCCCATTACTTTCTATCTGATCATTTCGTCTGGAGATGCCAAGAGCTGAATCACAGACCTTCTGCATGCTTTACTCTTGCACTGCAGTTCCTCTGAAAAGTAATGTGTAGATCTGGCTATCTCTGAAGTAGAAATTTAGCAGGTGTAAATGAATTAAACAAATTTAAATATACATAGATCAAGACACTGATGATTTTCTGATTGATTTGTTGATTTTTGCACTTCTAGATTATCCCTCCATGCACAAAACTGCTTTCCAGGTAGGGATATGCAAATCAGCTAATCTCAAATTCATCAAAGTTCTTCACATTTCATCTCAAAATTTACTCCATCTCAAGGCTGTATCAGATTCTGAGCTTCATTTTTTTTCTTGAAAAAAATCCATGGATATTTTCATGTGGATATTTTCAAATACACAGTTCAATTGTGCACACCTTTGAAATGTGCATATTCTTCCCCTAGATTAAAGTGCATTTGTGCCCATTTTCAAAAAGTACATAATTTCAAGCATTTTTTTAAATGTTCATGTACTGATGAACTTTTTTTGGGGTAGGGGGACGGGAGATTGGCGATTCACACCACAAACTCAGGATGTAGGATTGTGACTGCAGACAGTGTCCAAGTCCATGTTTGTTCTAGAAGATATAAAATAGGTCAATCCTGATCAGAAGCAAACTGAGACTAATTTCTTTACATTCCTATTTTCAGAGTAGTGTACAAAGCAAAAATAACATGCTAGAAATAAAACTCAATAAGACATTGATTCATCAAAGCAAGAAGGGTAGATGATCAAGTAAATAAAAACATTTGTTGGGTCTTTGGATAAATCCTTCTTTTAACTTAAGGAGCTAACTCCAGTATGAAATCTATCACCAAGATATCAAATAAATTGCTGCTCTTATTTTTTTCAAAAAATATTTATGCTCTCTGAAGACCAAAACAAAGCTCAATATACTGTGCAAAGATGAGTCTTGGCATATCATAAATTGTGTTCCCTGCTGAGTTTTATTTGAAAAAAATCAATTTTGGATCTTTTCATTACATGACATATCAAGTCTTATGATAAAGATATTGTTGCTGGTGGTTGCTATCTGTCACAGGGAGATAATCAAAGATTTGAAAGGAAGATGAATTCATTTATTTAAAAGATTGAAAAGCTGCCTTTCAGAGTAATCCCTTGCACGAATTTTAAAATAAATTGTGAGACCATGAAATACAATGAAAGAATGTTAAAAACAACAATAACAGTGATGAAAAATAAAATTAAAATTTGAAAACAAATAATACCATAATCACTTCAGCAGTCAAAAAATCTTCTGAGTCAAAAAGTGGAGGGGGTGGAAGGGGGTGGAGGGGGGTGACTGGCAGCCCACAGGCATCTTAGCAGTGCTACTATCAGGTCCAGAAACAGAAAACAAGCAAACAGTTTTGAGGAAACTTTTGTCTCCCCTTACAGCCTCCAAAGTTCTAATGAGAACATTTATCATTCTTTCTAAAGATCAGGGAGAGAAGGCAATGTGGTGAAGCTTTCTCATGATATGGGCGCCCTCAGACAATTTCAAGGTTGCCATAAAGTTTTGTGCTGAACCAGACACGATGGATTAAGCATGTATGCAGTAGCAAAAGCTAGGGACCTCCAACACTAGACTTGAGGCCATCTCCAGTGTTTCATGGAAGTAATCTGACTGGTGAGGTAGACAATATACTGGTAGTATTCCCCATTTCTCTCTGGCACCTGCCACCAAAAACACATTAAAAAGACGTGTCTACTATGGCAGGGTGGACAGAAGGTAGATCTCCAGATGTCTGGGAATTCAGCTCCCTGATGATCCTGCCAATATTGCCTATCTTCACCTGTTCTGTCATGTGCCCTCCAGTCATCGCTCTCCCAAGGTGACCCTATGAATGAAGGTCCTCCAGAATTCCCTGTCCATGACAGCTTCATTCAGCTCTCCCTTATGGATTCAATCCATCTTATGTTTGGTCTTCCCTTTCTTCTTCTGCCTTCAACTTTTCCTGACATGATTGTCTTTCCCAGGGAGTCTTGCCTTCTCCTAATGTGCATGGCAGCCTCAGTTTTGTCATTTTTGCTTTTAGGGAAAGCTCTGACTTGACTTCATCTGACTCCCAGAGAACAACAGCCACTCAACCACTGCATCCCTCAGTCCAAAACTGATGATAGACCAGAGCCATTTGTTGATCTAATACCAATGTTCCAGAAGGTTTTAGTAAAAATTACCAGATCTACTTTCTCTTCCAGATAAGATCATGAAGGAGAAAGGTTTTGATTTTAACTGATCAGGGATTAATTAAGGGAGAGAGTAGCAGAAACTGCACCATTGAGGACAGAATGAAGATTAGATCCAAAATAAACCCAGCCACATCTTGCAAGGTTAATGTTGTAACCTCTCCCATCATCGTGTCGTCCCCTCGTCACACTGACAGTAGATTAACGAGACGTTCCCTCCACCCTGGCCAAAGGTATCTTGTCCATCATCAGCAATAAACTCAGTGAACCCACTCCACTTATGGTTGTGTCTCTAGCAGGATACACAGCACCGGCTTCTTGCCATGCAGCAACAAGCCCTCCGTTCCTTCATTCCACATTAGAAATAACAAATCAGTCCTTGACTGTGCAGCAACAAGTGCTCCTTTCTGTTCTTGGATGGACAACTCCCATGCATGCGCGAAGCTCTAGGCACTATTTCTCCTGCAGGGACAGATTTAAGCAAGAGTGGAAAATGCTGTGGCGATGGTGCTTCTCCCTGACTCTTTCCCTGTGACTGTGTTTTCCTGATTCCGTGACCCAATTGTGCAGAGATGGGGTGAAACGTGGTATGAAAAGGTCTGTCACTGAGACGTCAAATAGGGCCGAACCAATTTGTTGTTGTTAATACACTTTGGGGCAGTAACTTTATTAGGTCCAGCAAAAATGACACAAATGAGTTTGCAAATTTTCAAATTCTCCAGAGAATGCCCGAATGAGAAAACATTCACACCTTTGTGATATTTTGGGGGGTCCTGGAAGCAGTATGGTTAGATTTTGAATTTTTCTGTATCTTGCATGCACCAGTGCAGCTTTCTTTGCTGTTCCTGCTGCTGTAAATATTAGTAATTGGTGCCTTTCTTGACCTTATTCATTTAGTTCAACTCAGGCCTCCCTGCAACTTGCAACTGCAAAGGACCAACAGGCATGGCTACAATTTGACCTGGAGCCTCTGTATTCTCTCCCATTATATCAGAGAAAACCTGAAGTACCAAGTGTGGTACAGAATAAAACATTCTAACAAGGTGAGTGTATTTGTGAAGGTGTTTATGTGGGGGGGGGATTTTCTCCTGAATGATACAGATTTGATTTATTATTTATTCCACTTTTCTGTCCCTGATCATTAAAAACTGTTTAAGAGATTTTTATTGACATTTTTATGTTATGTGTAAGTGATACATAACTTTCAAAAGATGACTACAAGGCCAAAGAAAGAAGGGTGCTCTGCTTCAATCAGCCAGTAGCTCTAAAATGGCAGATCAAGAAGCAAAGGGTGGGTGCAGGACACACACTCCATATAAACCTGGGCTGGCCTTCCAGATGTTGGGCCAACATCACTCATTAGCCAGAATTTTATAATAGCCTGCCTTTTAGTGGCCAGGTGATTAGTCCATCTAAGCCAGGGTGGACAACTTGCGGCCCTTCAGATGCTTTGGCCTAATACTCCCAGCATCCCTCACCATTAGCTGTGTTGGCTAGGGCTCATGGGAGTGCTGGAACATCTGGAAGGCCACCATTGCCTCAATGTTAGGGATGCTATTGTGGACAATCAAGTTTTCACATGCAGGAGAAGTCTCCTATAACATGGCAGGCTTTCCCCAGCCTTGTGCCTTCCAGGTATGCTTGGACTTCAACCCTCATCATCTTTAGCCAGCATGGAAGCCCAGTGAGGACAGCAAAAGCACAGACCTCCTATGCATTTCTAATGACTTAACAACACAGAAATCATTCTGTCTTTGATTCCATTTTGCAGACCGACAAAATCCTCAATATTGATCAAGATCAGAGATGGCTCTTCCTTGAGAATCTTCCTCCTGATACAGAATATGAGGCGGCCGTTCGTGCAAAGGTACTAGAGGATATTTTCAAAAGCGTGTGGAGCAACTGGAGCATGCCAGTAATATGGAGGACTGATCCTGCAGGTAGGTGTCCAGAAAAAGGCACGCCCAGTATTAGAGGATTGGGGCAGATAAGGATTCCAAAACCTTACGTATGTGTTAGGACCAATGCTTCCATTGCACAGGCTGTGATGCTGGAGTCTGCAACATGGCTCCAGTGGGCAGTTATGCCTGTCAAAACCCATCTTGGAACTCATCAGGATTTCTGACTTATTTTTTTGTTAAGATTTTTGAAAATTTATTATCTTCTAACCAGGAGGCTGACGGGCAGCAAAGAGAAGAGCAGGCATCCGGCACCACTTTATTTGGGTTCAGATGAATAGTTCTGTTTTTGGAATTAAGCCCCCACCATTACTATGTATATCAGTTCTTGGGCAGGTTACTTCCTCTGAATCTCACTCACAGTTTGCCTTCTGGACGTTAAGGTTTCTGTGCATTAATTTCTGAGATGTTAAGAAAACTGCACAAGAATCACATTTAAATTCTTGTTTTTAAACCTATTTTCTCCCAACATGCTCATTTCCTTTTGAATGTGAAAGCCTAAATATTTATTAGGCTGCAAGTTCTCTTGTGCACAGTGGACATACTTCCAAGTTAAACACACGTATGGCTTACACTGCAAAACTTATAATTCCATTGCAGCTTTTGGAGAAGCACAAAATCCACTGCATAGCAATATTCTGATCTGCACATTAGTGCAGGGGGTGCAGACCAGATTGATTCATGTAAGACATTGCAAAACTCGAATCCCCCTGGCATCCCTGCTCAGAGCATCTACCAGTGGGAGGCATGGGAGGCTTGTGTAGCATTTGTGCCTCTCCAGAGCTAGGCATGTTAAGAAGTGACCACTGATCATGAGGAAAAGAAAGCTTGAGCAGAAGCATTTGCAATGCAAATGAGCATTTTGGAAGATGTTTGGTTGACATCCACATTTGAAGCAAAAGTTTCTTGGAGCTGGATAAGAACGTAAGAAGCTGCCTTGCATGCAAAACTTCACAATCACATGATGGTATTGATCACTGGTAGTTTCCAAACAAATAGAAAATAATACGCAATGTACCTTCCTTACACAGTATATCAATACATTTATTACAAAGGTGGGGAACCTCATAATCTGGTCTTCTAGGATTTCTCACAGGGCTATGTATGTCCCCTTGCCCACTCATTTGGTAGTTTCTAACATTTGTGCAGTTTCCCCCCATTCTTAAAAGTTCAAATGCCTCTTTTTAGGCTTAACTACTGGCTGTAAGAGCATTACTCTACAATATGCTGGCATTTTTTATTTTGGCCCCACCATTTTGACTTTACCCCTCTCACTAGCATGCAGACCCTAAGAGCTTCTCTGAAATTTAATTTGGTCCTCAGATTAAAGAGGTCCCCAATTCCTGTCTTTTGGAATTCTATGCCATAAGATGCTGCTGGTTTAGCTGCTTTTGCAAAGAAATTAGGCAACCTTGGTGCATTCCTTTGGAATCATATAATATTAGAGACAGGAGGGGCCAATAAGGTCATCAAGTCAAACCTCTGCTCAGTGCAGCACCCCAAGCTGAACCATTCCTAATAACTGGTTGCCTAGCTGCATCTTCAATGCCTCCAGTGTAGGACAGCCCATGACCTGGGTAATCAGTTCCATTGTTGTATTGCTGTAACAGCCAGGAAGCTTTCCCTAACACTCAACCAGAATCTGGCTTCCTGGAACTTCAGCCCATTAATCCATGTCCTGCATTCTGAGATGATTGAGATACATATATTCTGTATCCTATATTATTATAAGTTCATTGAGTTCTTAAAAAAAGAAAAAGCAGGATATAAATCTAATATAAGTTTGTGTGTGTGTGTGAATATATATTTGTAATATAGGACACTTTTTGTCTCCTATATTACCACAGCGGTGCAATTTTCTTTTGTTGCTGCTCTTTGTTTTAGTTCTTCCTCATGTTTTGGCCCCCAAAAGTGCCCCAAGGTAACTTTCAGGTTCAAAACCCAGCAATCCAATAAAAATAATGAAATAAAAATAAAAAGGGTGTGCCAAAGAAATCATTAGAATAAAAGCAAAGAAGGGCATAAATCAAAAGAGTTAGTTTAAAAAGATGTTCCTCCAGCAAGAGATCAAAGTTGGTAACTGCATTTGGTTGTGCATCCTTAAATTCAGCTTCTTCATACTGACTGTCCTTTAGGTCCAGGTGGGAAACATCTGACTCCAATAAATGGCTAATCTCTACTTGTTTCTTTCTAACTAATCTTCAAGCATCATCTTCAAGTGCCTACCTTCTACTTATTCTGCCCATTGTTGTAAGTGTGATAATCATTGCCTGCATCGTCATTTTCTTTGAGGCCAGATCTTCAGCATTGAAACGGTAAGAGAGAATTCAAAATGCAGCTTCTGTCCTCTCCTGATATTGACCCTGCAATCTTTTAGACGATCACCAGTTCCCTGCCCTGTGCCCAAAACTCTTGCCTCTCCCAAGCAGTTCCCTCTGCAGGAGTGACAAATCTTTAATTTGTCTTCCAGTTGTGTTATGTGGTTTAATCATGTCATGGCACAGAATAACAAATGGCTGGGGCATGTTTATTATTGTTAATTCCACTGAAAGGTCAGAGAAGATAGCAGCTTCCCACAGCATGTTGCCTGCCAGTTGTGTTAAGCTACAGTTCCCGTCACTCCAAGCCACCACAGCCAGTGGCCTTCCAGATATGTTGGACTGCATCCTGTAAATGGTCATGATGGCTGGAAATGAAGCAAACTGCAGGTCCATTTGGCTTGCATCAGGTTGGGGAAGGCTGGAATGTGGTCTCTAAGGCAGGATCTACTGGAATCCAGGGGAAAAGAAATCCCAGCAAAGTGTGGCATGGTTTTGCTACATGCAGCAATGGAAGTAGAATTCTAGACTGGGGACTGCTTCCAGATGAGGCTTTTCTTGTCATGCATGCAATGGAATCACATGTAGTGGAATCAGAGTCCTGAGGACGCTTCCATGTGTAACCATTGTTTCTTTTCCCACTGGTTTTTTTCCCTTTCCAAAGAAATTTGTTAAGATGGGAAAGACAGAATAGCTTTTGTTACCACTAGGTGGCCTCTACCTGGATGGGACTCTCTGTTATAGGCAAGTTGCAGCCCTCCAAGTGTTTTGATCAACAATTACCATGATCATTCACCATTGACTGTGCTGGCTAAGACTCATGGGAGTTGCAGGCCAAAATACCCGGAGAGCCATGCGTCTGACATAGGGTGATGGTTCTTCATTCAATATAGCAATCCTTCCTAGGAGCCAACAGTTCTTGCACCAAATGTAGCAACACGTCTGTCCTCCAAAACCATACTCATTTCGCATTCTTTCCTGAACATTGTCTGTAACCTGTTACAGTTTTAGGAACATGCTGGACAGACATTTGCCAAACCCAACAGAGTTCTTCCCATCTCTCACTGCTGACCATGAAGGAGACTTCCAGGTATGGGAAAATGAAGTTGAGGTATGGGGAGACTATGATTAGGTTGCTGGCTGTTGGCCAGCGACCAGGATAAAAGGGTGCATTCCTAGTCAGTGATGTAACAGTAATGTTTGTAATGTAGGCACTCATTGTGACAATTTCAATAGCCACCCACCCCCCAAAAAATTCCACCAAATGCAAGCCGTTGTGTTGGGGGCCCTCCCTGGGCATTGTAGCAGGTGTAAAAACAAGATTGAGGGTCTTAAGGTGCAACCCTATGCATCATTGGCCAGGGTGCAATCCAGTGGGGATGTCTGTAGCCTCCTGCTTATGGACATCCTTGGAGGTTGGGAGGAATGCAGAGGTGAAGATCATTCTTGCCTCCTAATATCCTGGATTGTGGCTGGATGACTGATTCCAGCCATCCATTTGCAGTGTTCTGGAGAAGGAGAGAAGGAGGCTAAAGTCCTGCCAGAATGTGTCATGTCTTGGCACCACCAGTCTCCTCTCCTCCCCACCCAATGAAATGCTGCTTAAGCCACCCCCCCCCCGCCTTGAGGTGACTGTTATGACCTTAGAGAAGCAGCCAGTGTGGGTTTTTCTGTGCCATCTGCAATTCAAGTGCAGAGTCCCCTTGCCAAGAACTGAGCTCCTTTCCAACATCAGATACTGTCTAGGAGTCATGGGATTGCTCTTTAAGATTAATGGTCAAAAAAAACTACTCAAAGTTTTAAAATACATCACATGCTATCTTAATGTATTATCCCCAATGTCACATAAATAAACAATGCCATCCTATGCATGTTTAATCAGAAGTAAAACCCATGGATTATGTAGGACATTCTCCCAATCAAATGAGCTGAAGGACCGGAGAAATGGTTTGACAAACCAGACTAGAGATAAAGTTTGTGCATGTAGCAGGGTGGGATTCCACAAAACCTTTGCATTACATTACTGGTTTAGTGCCACACTTGTTTAGTTCAGCCACAGTTTCTGAACAGCTCTGAATTTAACTCTATTTCTGATCCAAATGGAAGGCATGAATCAGGTCGTTTCGTTTCCAATCATGGACTGAACAAAATCCTCAAACATCCCTATGTGCAAATCACTAAACTGACAGCTGTGGCACTATTAGCCCATGTTGAAAACAATAGCAGGGAATTTTGAGAGCCTCATGGAGCAGCTGTCACTCAGCAACTTCTCAAGCAGCTCTCCCAGGGTAGAATCCAGTTGGAAAACTGACCCTGAAAAGCCATGTCCTGGTTGACAGTTGTACTGATGAGGCCATCCATGTACAATGCCAGGAAAGTCATGATTCCCTCCTTAACAGAGCTTCTGCCTCTTTCTTTCATCTTAATTATTTTAGGCATCAGGAGGCAGCTTGCAGTCCCTTCCTCTTTTAGGCACCTTCCCACATGACAATCACAGCATAAGACCGTGTGAATGTCTGCCAAGAACAAGCAAAACATGACTGAGGTCTGCATAACAATATTGTTTCTGAATTGCAGCTCCAAGGCCTGGCTTAACACAGGTTCCCCCACCCCACCCCGCAAAAGTTAGAGAAATCCTACAAATATTCCCAAAGATGCTCAGCATTCAGGTAGCCTGTGTAGTATAGCAGTTAGGTTGTTGGACTGGGATTTAGGAGATATGTTCCATTCCCCTCAGCAGCAAAGTTTACTGGTTGACTCTGAGTCAGCCACTGGCTCTCAGCCTAACCTACCTCACAGATTGTGGTGGGAATAAAATGTAGAGGCGGACCATGTAAGCCACCTCGGGATCCTTGCAAGAGAAAAAAGTGGCAGGATATAAATGTAATCATATATAAATCTAGAAGAGGGCGGGTATCTGAGGAACAGAGGTCAGGAGAAAGTTATTTTCTGTATGGGAAAGCCATAAAGAAATGTTCAGAATCAGTTGAGTAAGGGAAAGAGAGGGAAACTCCTTTAACATCTTCTAGTATTTTGTTTGAAGGTTTCATTTCTGCTGTTCTGAATGTGAACCCACTGTCTTTTGTTTCCCCCCAACTCCCATGAAATCAACAGAAGTGGTTGTCCTCCCCATCCACCATCTCTTCCTTCCACATTGCCACTGCAGCTCCAGATGTCTCTGTGCTTGAGATAATGCAGAAGGGCTATAAAGAACCACCTTTCCTCTTTACCAAGGAGTATCTCAGGAATACCAACACACCAGAGAATAGTGGACATTCCTCATCCAGCCATTATACCAATGGTGGCTATTTTTTCTTCCACCATCTTGACTCTGTCGAGATTGAACCCTGCAAGGTGTACTTCACCTATGACCCCGTTTCTCAAGGGAGCAGTGACAATGAGGACGGTGACTCTTACAAAGTACTCTATGAAACAGGAGACAGCAGCCAGCCACCACCGACCTGTGGCAACCTGGCAAACCAGGCACATGGTGCTTCTCTGCAAGAAACAAAAGACTCAACCCAGACAGTGGGCGATTGTTTATTAGCTCTTCCATCAAAGGAGAGCCTCCCCGCAGCATCAACAGCAGAACACAATTGCAAGAAAGAAGGGAGCGAGTCCAGAGGTCCACTCTACAAGTCTTTGGAACAATATTCCTCGAGCTGCCCAAGTGTTCTGGAGCAGTCCAGTGTCAATATAGCCCTCAATAGTAATAGAACAGAAATGACCAGAAATGGAGATCCTCCAGAAATGGAGATCCAACTCAGCTTGGTGGAAATTAACAGGCCTGCTGCTCTCCAGGATGTGATTCAAAATCAAGGCCAAGGTAATGATCTCTGCAGAACAGTATCCTCCAGTCAGCTCCCTAGTTCTTCTGATGCCTACCTATCCTTGAGGGATCTCCAGTGCCATTACAGCCATCACTCAGCCTGAACTGTGCACAGGGAAGTCATTTCTGAAATCAAGATTATTGAACTGGATTAAACCATCAGTTTAGTTCAGGGAAAGGAAGAATGGAAAATTCTGTGGACTGCAGGGACTGCTGTCACCATGGGAATCAAGAAAGCATGCTCAGATCAGTTTATGGGTTCAGATATTTCTTCTCCAGAAGAGACAAATGTTCACTTGTCAACTCCAGCATGTTTCCTCAGTCCATCCTTTCATGGTCTGAGCTGGCTTTGCTTTCTTTTGCTCAAGGATACCTGTTCCATCATGAGCACCACTCACAGAACCCATTCATTCCTTATCTCACATGGCTCTCTGCTTTTCTTAGCATGAAGTAAACTTGAAAACCCAAATCTGAAGGGAAAATCAGACATACCAACAGCAAGACACAAAGAGAATGAATCAGAAGGATGGTCTTCTGGGGTATAGTTGTAACTTTTCTCCTTCCCTAACTACCACTCAAGTATTCATTCCTAGGAACATAAGAAGCTGCTGTCAAGTTTTTATGCCTCAAATGGAAATACATGAACCTAATAGCTTCTTGCTCAGGCATCTAATTGAATTTTTGTGCTTTTGATTTTATGGCTTTGTATATTACTGCTACTACAAGACATTAGGATTATGTTTTCCAAAAGCAAAAGAGCCCCATATCTCTGTGACACCATAAACTGGGGGTGAGGAACTGGGGTTTCGGGGGCAGTTGGACACTCTCAGAATGCCCTGAGTAGCCACAAACCCTCCATGGAATTGCTGCCACTAGGTAGGGTTGCAAGGATTTTATTACATTCGTTCATTTTTTCTGTCTTTTGTGAATTTGTTAGGTGCCTTCCTCTCATCTACCCATTGACAGAAGCTGTTTTTTTAAAAAAAAAAAAACAGTGTGTCATTCCATTTATGCTAATTCCTATTAGCACTAATCCACATTAGTGGATTCTATGGATGTGCAGACCAGTTTTTCATTGCAGGAAGCAGGGAGAGATTAGCACTTATTGACATTAGCACTAATGGGAATCAGTGCAAATCTACCGCAAAGTGGGGGGGGGGGGGCGACAATCCACAAGTTCGTGAAATTGTTTTGACTCAGAAAAAGCTGGCCTGCTGCAAAATTTGAAGGTCAGACCAACAGGCACCCAAACTCACCCAGCTCCACTGTGCTTGCCCAGCTCCACTATATCTCAGTGGTACCCTTACCACTGTAGCACCGCTGAGTCGAGCACTGTAAGCTGATGCTGGGGGAGAGACACAAGAAGCAAGGCAGGCTGGAAGTGCACACCTTGCTTCCAAACAAAATTGTGTTACAAGGATGCTTTCCCTCTCTTATTTTCAAGTAAAATTTATCCTTCGTTGTTGTGCCACTGAATTGTGGTGGTGAGCGGTTGCTTTTTTGCCAGTGAAGATGCAGTAGTGCAGAGGACTGTCAAAAATTCAGAGGACCACAAGCAGCCCAGGGACGCCAGGTTGCCCTCATTTTGAGGAACCATTCCTGTTTACAGAACAGAGCATTAGTACCACTGGAACCCTACTGGTGACAATTTCCAGAGCTTACCTTCGGTTTGGTTTGCTGTGGAATGAAGTCACTGGAGGATTACCAGGGGTGTGTTGGCATTTATTTACAGAGATACAGGCTGAGCAAAGCTGACATATGGCATTAAACACTCAGAAAGGTGTCTAAAGTTCACTGTTCCTGCATCAGATTTGGGGAGAGTCACCCAAGAGATGCTGCCAGAGCTCGAATTCAGGTCCGCCTCTGATGCTGCCTCTTAGCTTATCCCACAATAGAGTATGGCTGGCCAGATGATGTGCTTTTCTTAGCTTCAGTTGGTGCTCATGGTGGGTACATAACCACTAGCACTGTTTCCTTGCTGTGCTTGAGCTTAGATTGCTGCAATAAGCTCAGTGCAACACTGCCTTTGAAAAGCTGCCTTTCAAAGGCACCAAGGCTTTGAAAAGGCTGCCTTTGAAAAATGCTCTGAACCTTTCAAGAGGCTCTAGTTTCTACATATAATGCCCCACAAAACCCGGGAGCATCTTTTCCCATATGGCCCCTCTAGCGGACTTTCCAATTCTGAAATGAGTGTCTACCAGGACCTTTTTGGTTGTGGCTCCGGAGCTGTGGACTGCATTCCCTTGAAAGGATTGTTTACGTTCCTGTTTTGGACTCTATTCCACCGGTCTTTGAAGAATTATCTGGAACCAACTGGTTTCTCTTGTCTTTTCTGTTCCAAGTTTGATTTAAACTGTTTTATATTATGTCGTTATTTTACACACAAAACTGTAAAAACTGAAAGAAAGTTTCCTGCCCCCTTCTCCTTTATAGGGGATGGAGAAATTTCACCAAACGGGGTGAAATCCAAGCAGAAGTTAAGGATGTGCATGCTAGACAGCTTCCTATCCGCCATTAGCCCTCTGCTCCCCGCATGCTTCATCCTGCATTATTCAAGAGTCTTTCTCTGCTCTTCCCAGCAAGGCTTTGCATGAGTTACAGATTGTTGCAAGAAGGACAAAACACTTTCCTTAAGTTAACCTCTTAGGATCCAAGCAGTTCTTATCTAAAAATTGCTCTGCAGCACCCCGAAATATCTGGTTCCCACACACCACACACAGGATCTCCCTCTGAAGATTCAGACAAGCTGCTAGGCCTTCTTATTTCACCACATTTTTAGTGTGGACTCAAGTTTTTCTCCCTGTTTGATAGCAATTCATATTATCCAGATGTTCATTTTAGCATATGAAACTGATTTTAGTAATATCAACTGTGTGGTTTCTTTTAAGTGAACATCTTTGTGTTTTATGGGCTGTATCATTATTATTTTTTGCAAGCTACTTTAGGTTTATTTTATTAATAAAAGCAGGTTCTGCATTTAAAAGTCCATCAAGCAGTACAATACTGGACCAGAGGAGAGGACCTCCAAGTGTTCCTTTCTGACTGTCACACATTGCACCTACAGACAAGGTGCTAACTAGGTTATAATGTTAATCTCTGTATACAGTATTTTAAATTTTGATGTAAGTTTCCTGGCTTGGGACTTATTCTGGTACTGGGCAGTCAGCCACACCAGCCTGACTTACTTGATTCCTGTATCTTTCTGAACACTGTGTTGAAACTTTCTTAAGACTCAACTGCTGCTTTCCTACACCCTCTTACTTGAGAGTGAGTTCCACTGAACTCAATGGGACTTGCTTCTCAGTAGGCTTTGAATAAGTAGGGGTGTTTCAGCTCATTCCCAAAGCCGCACAACTGGAAAAGTTCTGCATTTTTCAAGTACGTATTTTGAGCATGTGAATACAAACCCAGGAACCTGCAAACATTTTGGAAGAAAACATACTCTCATTCATGCTTATACTCAGGATTGCAAGCGGGGCATTTTGCGTTATTTGTGAATTGAAACAAAATTCTCCTACATCCCTATATAGGACTATATTCTTAGGAACAATGGAAGCTTCCCTCTAAGAGGTCAGACTTTGTTCATGTTGACCAGCATTATTTACTTTCATTAGCAGCAGCATTCCAGATCTTTGGCAAGGATCTTTCTCATCACTAGCTGCTTACCTAATCCCTTTAAATGGAGAGACCAGGAATCAAACTTCTGCAAGTACTACTGTTCCTTCTTCTTGAAGGTCAAGCTTTTCAGAGGATAAATGAAGCAAAAGAAAATGCCAGGGAGGCGCGAGTGTTGTTAACTGCTGATCTACTGTAATTCCTCATCCACTTGATTTTTTCAAAAATTGACAAACTCTTACCACTGGATTTTTGAAGTTATTGTTATGACGTTTTAAATTAATATTATTATGTTGTATTTTATGCTGTTAACTACCTTGAGTTACCAGGCAAAATGCATTTTCTAAAAACAATCAGAATATGGATAAATATAATCATAGGACTATGTATGTATAAGCTTTAATGTATACTGGGTACGTGAAAAATTTTTACAATAAAAAGGCTCTAATTTCCCATTACACTTGAAATATGGCAGTGATGGCTTTATTTGTCTTTCAGGACAAAATATCCTCCTTTCATTTGATTATGATAGGATTATTAGGAAGCAGAGCAGCTCTTAGGCTAGACTAGTGAAAAATTGTCTAATTGAAAGAGCCTGTTCCCATAATTTGAGGAAATCATCACATAATTAGCAGTGAGGAAAGGTGAATCATCTCCCATATATAGATGCAGATCTGCATCTGTGCCTAAAACCAAAACTAAAGTATTTATTTTAAAGCAATCAAATTAAATGGATTTTTTTCATACTTCCTCCCTATTTGAGGCAGGTAGTATCAACTCCACATAATATAGTACAGCTATGCTAGTTTGGCAATAATGCATAATAATTCTCCTTTTATGCATTGCTCATGCTGCAAAGCCAAATGGTCTGCCTCCTGAGATTAGACTACTATTGTGTAAAACTTGTCAGATGGATTTGACTAATGATGAAGAATATGGCAATAGATTGGAGAATTTATGCCCTGATTTTAGAACAGGAAACCATGAAATACCAAAGCATTTTGGTGCTGCCACCTCTGCAGTGTTGCATCAGTGAGTGGTTCTCGGTTTAATATTGCACTTTGTCAGGCTAACCACATTTGTTTCCTATGCTATTTGTCGTAACAAAAACAGGAAACGTACGTGAATCATCCCATTATTGACTGAACTCTTCTAATAACAAGTGCATACTGGGTGCATGTTTTTGTTTGTCTGTTCACATGTATGGCCTGCACGGGCAGGCTAGAGATCATTAAGAGAATGAGGAGTGGGAGGATTCCCATCCAGCGGTGACATTCCCAGTGATATGGATCAGTCACTCATTGAATCTTACAGGTACCCCATATAAAGATAGAGCTTTTCACAATGGCCACTGCTGCATAAGTTAAGGCAGCACACTAGAAGAGTGACAATGCTAACCTTACATCTTGGGTATTATTATTGTTGCTATAATTGCTATTACAATTATTGCATTGCATTGATATTCTGCCTTTCCTCCCTCCCAGTCTGGCAAGGAACCCAAGCCACCTGATCTTATTATCTTGCCCTCCATTTCTCTGCCCTGTGAGCAAATATCAGTGGACCTGATGAAGCACCAAAATGAGCCATTTGCTAAAGAACTGCTTTAGTCCACAGGCTCTTCGATCTAAATGGCTTGATTTTTTAAAAATCCCATAAGAAACACTACAACTTTTCTTATGGACCACTGCAAAGTTTGATCAGATCTTCCAGCCCTTCTAAGATCTTACCCTGGATCTTGGAGAGCAGAGGGATGCGACTGCCTCTTTGTTCCCCTTTTCTCCTGTTGTTGAGGTGTGCACTAGTGATGTGCAATGTTAAAGGAGGCTGCCCTGCCCTGTTGTGTTGTGGCAGTCATACACACCATGGGCCCTTTCTGGACATTAAAGGAGTTGGTTCAAAGGAATGGGGGCAACTCAGTCTAGGCTGCCCCATCATATCCAGCCCAATTGCTTAAAGCTCAAGTCACACATCATCAGGCAGTAGCTTCAGGGAGCATGACTGCTGCCAGGTCTAAGTTTCAAGCATAAGCATTGGTCTCTTAAGGCAAAGAGCTGTTTTGGTTTCAGATGCAGCTATTAATGAACATCTTGTGATTCAACAAAATTAGGTACTGGTTTCACAGGAAGTAATCCCCAGCTGTAGATGCTAAAATCAAGGGATCATTTCTCTAAATAGCATCCGTTTTGACTCTGAGGTACAACGAAATGATTCCGGGCAAAGATTTCTTTACAGCAAATTACCCTAGACTGTTATTTAGGAGAACACTTCTGCTGCTTTGTTTCTAATGCCCAGTATGCCGATGATGTAAGAGAAGCCCAGGAGGACACACACAAGGGATCACACAAGCAAGGAGGGGAACGTCTGGTGGTCACTCATGCTTCACCACCCCAAAATAAACAGATGACATAGCTTTGCACAATCGCAACTTTTGCACAATTTGCACAATATGAAAATCTTATGTCCACATCCAAATTAACAAGGGAATACTGCAATTTAACAGAAATAGAATACACACCAGCATATAGGGAAGGCTGGGTTCAGGTGACTGATGTGACTGCCCATTCATCTTTGTCCAGGCAACTTCAAGTTGATCAGCAGTTCCAAGGCCCCTGCTGGCTTGCCCTTCTTATGGGTGCTCTATTTTGGACAAATAGAGAGCACCTTCCAACAGAGGACTGCCCATTCACAGCCTTTCAGACAGGGACTATGCTCTGTAATGTAGTAAACTTCACCCTGGAGCTCTGTAAGGAGTCCCGTGGACCTACTGTCGGGTTAGTAGGTGTGGACCTACCTGATACAAGACAAACCAATGATCCAATCAGCCAAGTGTTGGCTAGTAGCCACTTGCCAGGTTTTCAGGCATATGTCTCCCAATCCCGCTGCTCAAATTCTTTTTAAAACTAGCAGCAATGACTTCAGTTTTGGAGGATGGTTGCATACCATACCCTTAGTAAGCTGATGTCTCTGGAGAAGACAAGTGCCAGGGAATGACAGTTGGATGCAGCAGCAGGGCCATGAGGTTCTTGGATTTGTGTAGCTCCTGGCAGGTGCCTAACGAAGACAGCCCATGATGCCAGCCCCATGAACTGGGCACAGCAGAAATTGACTCTTCTGCCAGAAAAGCAAATGCTGAACCATGGAACTATTGTCTCCACCAGGCCCTCCAGGAAGTCCAAAGCCTGAAGTCTGACATGGATGCCAACATGGAAGACATGGAGGAGTGGACTCTGCTCCTTGAGCACCACCATTTATGTCATAGAAGCTCCACAGAGAGCAGCTTTTTTAGGATACAAGATGAGAGAAGATGTATTGAGCACAATGCTCTGCTCTGGCGGAGTCCCTTCTGTTTACAAAGTGTGCTCTAACGCTCTCAGACAGGGAAGATGCTATTCCTCTAGAGGAGAAAGTGCCTCATAGGCAGGGCCAGTGTGACATTTCCATTATAGCAACACCTTGACATCCTGGCCAGGATTCCTCACTTGTGGTTTCTGAAGTGATATGAAACATCCCCATGGAAACATGGCTGGTGAGAACCCAGATCAGCTCCACTGAGTGGGTGCAATTCCTTCGTAACTAGCTCTAATTTTGGCCTGCTGTGTCCTTGTCTTTTTCAGACACACTTGGATACCATGGTGATGAGGAATGAGCTATGAATGTCTAGATGGATTTGCCTTCTGATTCGTTCCTCCTTGACTATCAGACATTTCAGAAGAAAAAGTTTTTCGGGGGCAACACACATGTCTCTTATCAAAGGAATCATTCTCTTCCTTGTGTTACTGCCAAAGTTAGGTTCTCTATCTAATTTTTATTAATCCTGCCACAGACGGTAAACTTTCTCTCCTAGACAGTGGTGTAGTAGTAGGGGAACACACTGAAGTGCTGCTACAAGACTATATCCAAGCAGGAGCAATCTGCACCAGGAGCTCCTCACTCTGGCCAGGGAATGTCATGAATGTGTGTCCCTCAAGTTCTACTATTGTTTATGATGGAGGAGCAGAAGTCAGGGATTGAGGAAGATAGCAGAAACCAGATGTGTCTCTCTTTTCTTTGATGGGGTTCCTATTTTAGTCTAGTAGTTTAAATGGGAAAGTTGTTTCCGTTTTATAGCTAGACAAAGTTAACTTCTGCATTTCAGTTTATGAAAACGTTTCTGTTCAAACTGAGGGGTTAGATTCAGAACTGGTCAAATTTAGAAGAGTCCTACTGAGTGCTCCATGACAAACAAGTCCCACTGATTTCATTGCTTCTGCTCTAAGTTTGGCTAAGTCTGGATTCACACAAGGCTTTTCACAGGTCACAAATTAGCATCACTGATTTCAGTGGAGCTTATTTCCTGGTAGCTATGCGTGTTGATTGAATTACTAGATTTCCTGCCTTTCTTCCAAGTAAAGTGCCATACCAAAAACATGATACTCAGCTACAGTCATACTTGAACCTGGAATACAAGGAAATATATGGGTGCACAGAGGGTAGATTTTAAGGAAATACCATTTGTGACATTGTACAACATCGCTTCTGAACATGGGGTACAACTCTTAAGGCATCACCCACAATGTCTGGTTTCCTGGCTTTGTCAGGGAGGAAATCACCAAAACCTTGAGCTAGAATCCTTAGGGAATTTTCAGAAGTCTTTGTGATAATTATACCAAGCAGCAACCCTGCATCATACTTGTCTTATAGACCTTTGGACTGCCAGCCACTAACATAAAATAGCTCAGAGGGGATAGCTATCCAACTGTCCAGATAGAATATGATTTGGGATGAGCCAAAGGTTATTTTGGGATGAAAATTGATTGGAGCCCAGTTCTTCCCATCTTTCAGTGGAGAAACTACGAAGAAGGCATGAGAAACAAATTTAGCTTAATGTTCAAATGTACAAATTTTAGCTTAATGAATCTACAGGATTTTTTTTTCTGAGGGTGGAGGTCAAAACTGTTTGTGGCTGTAATTCATGTGCGAGCACACATCATAACAACACACCTGTGTATCTTCCTTGTGTGTGCTCTTTGTTGCTTAGCATCACATTCCATGACATTTAAAAGCCTACACAGAACAGTGGGAGATCCTGGGAACTGAAAAGCCCTACTGAGGAAGAACCTCATGGAACGTTCAAAAAACATTAAAGAAGCATTATGAACTGTAACAAAACTGTATTTGGAGCGGAGGATAAAAAGAACACACCAAGGAACAAGAGAAACAACTCCGGATGCACAATGACAGTGTAGCACTCCTAAAAATATCATATCTTGCATTTTGTGACTTTTCTGCCCTTATCAGGGCACCCTGCCTGTCTATCATGGATGAAGGCATTGCATCACTTCTACAGAGGAAAAGCCAAAGGAGGCCTTAAACATGCCCATTGTCCACACTCAGCACCTGGGCAGCAGGCTGAATAGGCCCACAGCTCACCTGATCACAGTTCTTCCTGCTAGACTGAGAAGTATTGCACTGCTATTAAATTACAGAAATGCTTTCTAAATTTGTCTTTGCACATATAAACGGGCACAGGCACATTTCATCCGTGCCCTCTTTTGTTCTCTGGTTCACTCTCTCTTTCTCTCTCCCTTTTTCTTTTTGCCTTTCATCTTTTTGGCAGTGCTTGGCAACCCTGGCTCCTCATCTCACCCTCCCTCCTTTATCCAGTCCACTGTTCTTTAGTGTTACCACCTTACCTGTGCCTTTTAACAGCTGTGCAAAATGCAGACATTAAAGAAGAGAATTTGTTACCCCTGCATCTCCATAATGGGTTGCTTGGATGGTGGTGACATACATTGACCTCTTAACCTGTTGCATAGCTGTTAAAGGTGAAGGAGCTCTTGTAGGCAGAGGGGGCACTATTATTATTATTATTATTATTATTATTATTATTATTATTATTACATTTCTATGCCGCCCCTTGCCGAAACCTCGGGGCAGTAGAAACCCTAATATAGAGATACACCCATTCCCAGCTCCCAGCTCCCCAAACACACACACAATTCAGTCTGATTTTGACTTTATCCCCTTGGAACCAACAGGTGTTACTAAGGCAGGGAAAAGTTGCTGGGCAACTAGAGAGCATCCCTCCGGAGCAGGGACCAATGGAAGGAGAGCTTGGGAGACCAGCCTTGCCTTCCCCTGCCTCTTCGCTACAGCCATCCTTCCTTCATCCTGCAAGCTATTCTCCCCAAGCCCAAGTATTCTCCTCTGCATCAAAGACTACAATACAGCCTTTCAGCTTTGGCACAGAGAATTGCTATATTTCCACCATGGAATGAGATACATCCCATAGGTAATTGGTGTCTTTTTAATGGGCAAGTGTATTATTCTTGCACTGCTGTCAGAACAAGAGTGGAGATTATTTCCCTGGGTCAAGCACAGCTTCCAGTGCAGAAATGAAGCAGGGCAAAGGCCGAAAGAGAGGCAATGCACTGCATTGGATGGCTGAGGGCAGGGAAGACCTTGGGCTTAAGTAAATATTAAATCTCACTCCATATTTACATACAGGCATGCGTGAGAGTGATTCTGGATAAGAGCGCATCAGGCCACCAGTACAACGGAAGCTCCAAAGGTATGTCTGTCACTTCGGGTAACGCGAGTCTTTGGCTTCTTATTTTTAAGGAGGGAGGTTTGGGGGTGGTTCCATTGCTGGGGCAGGTGCGGCCCAACCCCCCTTTTCCTGGATGTGTCAGTGTGAGGAAATATCAGGGACTGATGGTTTGGGAAGGCAAAACAGAGGCCTGTGCTTTCTGGCTCAGTGCTACAGCTATGAGGGAGAGAAGAAAGTGGGTCTTGCTAGTGTTTGCAGGGTGTGGTTGCATTGCTGCTTTGGGAATATGCTGATAACCTAACCTTACTGTTTGGGATATGGAGATCTTTCCCCACTCCATTTCCAGACATAATGCAAAGCACCAGTTCTGCCTCCAAAAGGCCACAAAATGGAAGACAAGTAAGAAACATTTAGCCCCTTTCCCAGTCCCTTTCACCTGCAAAAAGAGGACAAAGGAGAATACATATTTGCATAGAACTTGGATATTCAAATTGATAGGAATAGATGCAAATTTAGAAAGATTTACTCTAATTTCAGCAGAAGTGCAGCTAGGAAGACCTCCTGACCAGGTGACCAGAGTGTCTGCCCAGTTGGTTGTTCAGGCATGAACAGCTGGTGGACAATTTCAAGGCTGACTTTCTCTTGGCTCTTGGTCTTTCAGATGGACTTTGACAAGATAAGCCTTCAAACAGAGGGCTGTCCTTTGTAAAGTAGGCCACTTGGTCACCGTATTTCAGCTCTTGCTGGTTTTAGGACATGTATCTTATGTACTTCCATATTACATTGGTGGCCACACCTTCTGTGTTACTCAAAGCAGGATGTTAGTCTACCAAAACTCTTGTGAGGCAAGCTAGGCTGAAAGAAACTACCCATGGCCAGCAGCAGCTGTGAGGTACACAAGAATCAGAGTCAGCATTCCTTATACCCTTATCCATCAGTCAGGGACTCTGCACTGTCATATGGATCCTTTTCCATTATGGTTCAATTTGGATTTGGGGGCTGAAACAACTTTGGTTGCCTTGGTGATGATCTACACTTGGGACTAAATGGAGGAGTGTTGGTTCTTCTGGTCCTCTCAGCAGCATTATATCCATGGTATCCTTCTGGGGGATTTGGCTGTTCTGGGACTTGGAGGCACTTTATTGCAGTGGTTCTGATTTTTACCTGGATCTTAGTGGCTGAAGCTCAGGGATTACTGCTCAGTCCCAGAGCCTCTGGCGCATGGGATCCCTGAGGTTTCTAGTTTACCCCAGTGCTGTTTAACATTTAAATGGCGCCTCTAGAAGAGGTCATCTGGAGTTATGGGGCTGGGTATAATCATCACTATGCTGATGATGTAAAGCTCTATTTCTCTTTGTCAGCGGATGCCTAAGAAGCTGGGAAAACACTGAATCATTGCCCAGATGCAGTGATGGCAGACCAGCTCAGGCACAATCCAAATAAGTCAGTGGTACTGTTGGCCAGTAGAAAAGCTAATGTAGGATTGGAGTACAGCCAGTTCAGAATGGGGTAGCCCTCCCTCTAAAGGATCAGGTTCACAGTTTGGAGGTGCTTCTGGTCCCAGGATTGCTCCTTGGAGGATCAGGTGGATGCTGTGGTCAGAAGTGCCTTCAGCCAGCTTTGACTGGTACACCAATTTCATCCCACCCTTGAAAAGTCAGATCTGACCACAGGGACCCATAACACTCCCCTCCAGTTCACATGCTCTAACATGGGGCTGTCCTTCAAGAGAAACTACACCTAAGTGTAAGCTGTGGCTGCCAGACTGCACATTCTATTGACCATATCACACCTGTCTTGCATCACCTGTGCTCCAGGCACAATTAATGGTGCTGTTGCTTATAGAGAAAGCTCTGAATGGCTTGAGGCTTGAGGCCAGGACAACTGAAGGACTACATCCACCCCTAGAAACATGTCCAGAATTTGAGATCCTCGGAAACCCTTCTGTTTGTCCCACCACCAAGAGAGATTGATTTGGTGGGGACACAGGGTAGAGCCTTCTTTGTGGCAGCACCCTGCCTCCCTCCAAAAGGAAGTCAGGGTGGTTCCTCTCTGTTCAGTGCTAATAGCTTTTTTGTTGCTTGCAGCTTTTTAAGTATTCCCCAGTCAACTAACTTCTGATGCTATTTTAAAAATGTTACATTGTTTTTAACATTTTCAAAATTGTCTTAAAGTTTTGTTAAGTGTTTTGATATTGTTGCTGTTTTTCACAGGTAGTCATATTTGAGGCCTTATTTAGGCCAAAAGACAAGCTACTTTTTAATGCCATAGAAGTCACCAACTCCACTGGTCACGCCTTCTCAAATGTATTCTAGCAGACTTACTGTCTGAAGTACACTAAGGCTGGGTCCACACCTAGCCGCATCCCGTTAGGATCTCTTCATGCTGCTGCCATATCTACATCCCACATTCCTTACTTCTAGCATGCGTGGCAAGACTTGTTGCGGGATAGCCACAGTTTTCATGCTGTTTTCCAGCACCCCATATCACGCCCTCCTGTTATGTGTGGGTGTTGATCACTTGATGATGGTTGCCATTATTTGAGAGCAAGTCAGGAGCCACTGGAAAGGAGATGTGTGCGGGGAAAGGGCCTTGAAGGTCCAGTGTATATTTACTCAGAGGTAGCTCTGTTTGTGCTTGGTGTAGTGTACTCCCAGATAAGTAGCTTACTCCCAATGCAGCGGCGGGGGGGGGGGGTGGTCTTCTTCATAGTCTGTCTGAAGTCTCACATAATAGGCTGAACTAGTTTCAGAACATTCTAGAACTCTAGCAAGACAACTGTTGCTCACTCTGCTTTCTCTCATTTCAGTGGCAGTTCATGGATGGTCAGGTGCCTTTTTTCCATCATTGACTCATTGACAGGAGTGAATTTTGCATAAATGCATTTATATGCATTTGCACAAAGTTACACTGGAATATAGTCACACTTCCAAAAATAGGCAAATCCCACCCCCCAAATGCACATTTTCATGCTTTGGTCTGAGGGGAAATGCACATTTAGAATGTTATTTTTTTTTAAACATGTATGTATTTCTGTGACTAAATTTACATAAAATTGTTAAGTTTTAAAAAATGGTCTGTAACTCGATAGGATCTATTAGAGTCAGGAAAAGCTGGTCTGCTAAAGAATGTGTGGGCTGGATTCATACAAATCCAAAGCTGCTTGAATTCACTGCAGATTTTCTGACTTCCCAATGCAAGCCTCATGGGTCAGGATGGGTACCTTCCTATTTAGTGCTCTTGAACTGGTTATGCTTATGGCATGGAACAGCTGTAGATCAATGCAGATGATTTCTGTCTTGGCAAGATGCCCATGATGGAGGGAGAGGAACAGGAGGACGAATCCCCTGAACTGTCTCAAGATAGACAGAAGAGCAGGCTTCGTATTTGCCGACGCTACATCCCGCTTTGGATACTTTTGGTGTTATTGAGTGGAGCTGGAGTAATCACGTGGTATTTCTTAGGTAATAACGGCAATCTTTTGTTCTCGTACATTGTGCTGGTTGCAGCAGATGTGCTCTAGTGGGGGAAGGAGGTTAGCACAAGTATCCCAAATAGATGTGTTGCACCAGACCTGGCTTAGGGCTGCATCAAGTGGCTGCTTTCAGCTTGCTTTTGATGTCCTCCTTGATGTGGCGGAGCAGTGAAACAATTGACTGGCTGCCTCAGCATATTTCCAGATTAAAACTGGTTTGAGAAAGAATATGCTGCCACCATGGCCACTTGAAAAAAGAAGAGGAGGGGGCATTACATCATCCCCAAAGAAAACACCTGTTTGTATAGGATGATTTATATCATGGGTCCTCCAACTACGGCTCATGGGATGGATCCAGCCCACGCTGCCGTTCGCCACCCATCTCCGAGTGTGCAAGCTGCTGCCGCCCACCTCCTGTATGCGCGCGCTCGGCGCTGCCTTGCAGCGCGGGTGGGGAGGTGGTGGCTTGCTCACTCTGAGATGGTTTTTGACTCACTGGGAGACCTCCGAGTGAGCGAGCTACTGCCATGCGCGCCCGACGGCACCTCACCGGCCCGCGCCCCCAGGCACCCCCACCTCACTGGCCCGCGAAGGTCACCACAGCCTTTCAATGGGCCCCCTGTTGAAAAAGTTTGAGGACCACTGATTTATATGCATAGAAGCCAAGTTAGAAATTGTAACTATAATTCAAATAGAAATAGGTCTCACCATAGGAGAGAAGAGTGACAAGGTGGCCTGTATGCCTAATGCTTAGTCCACCACTGTACCTTTATCTGGAACCCAGGTACCAATGGTGGACAAACAACTTCAAGGCCCCCACTGGCTCACCCTTCTTAAGGCTCTTTGGCTTTAGGCCAGGCTTGGATTAATGGTCCATCAGACAGAAGACGCCTTCAAGCAGAGGACTGTCTTCAGCCAGTTCCCCAAACTAGAGAGCTGTTGTCTGTAAATCAGGGCACCTGGTGATTCTATCAGTAATAGTGTTACTCCTCCACTTCATGTCTCTTTGTGACAGTTTACCGACCACAGCATCTGGAGACAACTCACCTGCAATTCTACTCAGGCAGCCTGAAGGTCCTCAACCAGCAGTATTCCCTGGATCATGGACGTATGGAATCCAGAACCTTTTGGACAGAAACAGCAAAGGCAAAGAAGATGGTGGGGCACAGCTTTATGACTAAGGCAATGAAGGGTGTGATATGGCAGTTTAGGATAGGATAGGATAGGATAGGATAGGATAGGATAGGATAGGATAGGATCACTAACCCTCATCCACTGCCTCTCGCAGCAACTTGCAGTGGTGCAATCACTGCAGGACTTTGGGGCTCCACCCAGCAGATTGAGAAGGGGGCCCCCTAAATACAGCCAGGCTGACTTAGCACAATTCCAAGTAAATGAAGCCTTAAAGAGGAGTTCTCTCGTAAGACCATTAAGTCATATTTATTATTTTATTTTATCCAGGGTTCCCACTAGCAGCCTGGTGCATAAAAATAAAGGAAGTAACTCCTTCGTGCCATCCATGACTGAATTTCCTCAGCAGGTCAAACTTTGCATGCTAAATGTATATATATAAATATCCAAATGTAGATGCGGGTGCTGGAGCAGGAACAGTAAAATAATAACAATATTAGTAACAATGGCAATTGTAGGGATTTGGATTATTCATCTTGAATAATAGGTAACTGTTTTGGTAGAGAGGATGTGGGAGTTGTTTTGTGATGAGACCATTCCTGGTAATGACAACCTGGTATTATTTGAGAACATTTTCTTCACAGCTGAAAGATCTTATCCATGCTACTGACCTGGCTCATTACTACAACTCCAGTACAGTCTATGCCTTTGGGTGAGTGAAACATTATTAGCCTCTTTGCACATTATTTTCTGGCCAAAACAGACATTAAAATAATGTCAAAAGGCTACAGATTGTTTTCATTTTTACTCTAAAGTAAGTGTAGGAGACTCAGTCTAGACACAAGCATGGAGGCAGGTGGGGGGGTTAACTGCCCCCCACAAACACACACTCTGTAGGGCCTATCTAGAGCGGCATTTTAAAGTTTAAAATAGTGAGTTTAATCAGTTTGCTTTGACTCAGCAGTTCTACAGTTCTGCTGGATGGTTTTATCATGTGGTGCAGAATTCTTAATTCATAGTAACTCATATGTTAGATTTGTACTTGTATATGCAATTTTTTTCAGTGGTGCAATTCATGCACCCCTCTAAGTCACAGCAGTGTAATGAATCCCCGGGGCTTAGTAGCATGTGCAGGCAGCCATTTTGCACATTTAAGTTGCAACCACAGCTTGTCATACTGTGTGAACCCAGTGAGGGTGGGTTGTTGTGAGGGTTAGCAACCCATCCACAAGCCATGTGCTGGTCTGGGTTTGTGGGTGGTCTTAACCATGGCAATAGCCCAACCTTGACAGGTTTGCATAACAAGTGGTGGGCTATGGTGACCATGAGAACCGAATCCATGTGTGGCTAATAGGACCGTAGGATGTAACTGGATCTTCTTCAAGCCACCATCTGCATATGGCTATTCCCCTCTGAGCGGCTGTTTTGCCTCTGAACATCAGATTGCAGGAGCTGGAGTGGGGTGGTAAATAAAAGCCAATGTAGATTCTGCAACTCTGAAGCCTGCCCAGCCTGGGAAATTCCAGTGCATTCTTTATCTAAAAAGTCTGGAGAATCTGCCATACTTGCTCTTCATGTAGTTCAACTATGGCTTTGGGTTATTGCACCTTGCGGTGAGAAATGTTTTAGCTGGAGCACGCTAAAGGGTTTAGCTGTTCCATAATATATAAAAGAAAATGGAAACAAGGTAGTCAATACAGTTATTATCTGCCTGATAGGGAGGGATCTCTGACATGCTTCTTCTGGTTCGCCCTTCAAGTCCCAAAAAGCCAGCAGGAAGAGATGACTGCAGAGAAAGTGAAAGTCACACTCTTTAAAGAGCTGCTGACCAGTCTCAATAGAACAGGCCGCCTTTCCTATCAGGCAGAATACAAGCTCGACCCCGGATCCTTGGTTCTGCTAGGTAAGCAATGACCATGAATGGGAAGTGCGTGGGCTGGAGCCATATTGCATAAGAAAAAGATGGCTGATGCAACAGGGTTTCCCTATCCTCTTCTCGCATTGGATTCCCCCGTGTGCATCCCCAACCATCTAGAACAGAATGAGATGTGACCAGGCAGCTTCGGGATGGGAAAGGGGATATCTGTTCAACAAGCTGTTTCCCTTCCGCTAACAAAATAGCCCGATAGGATCCAACTCATCATTCCTAAGAAAGACGGGCTGACGAGACTTACACGGATTGACTCTTTCTTCCCCTAATAGGAAGCAACAGTTCGATAATGGGTAATATTAAAGTATCTCTTCATATTAGGGAAAGAAGAAAGATGGAAGGGACAAAATGCAGTTATGTAAGGTAGAGTGGAGGTGTCTGTGAGCAAGAACTATCAGGAAAATACTAAGCCTGAGTACATCCTGACAGTACAGAAAAAAGAAGAAAGATGTAATGACTTCTATCTTGTAAAGAAATGGCTTCTGAATCACCACTCTGCAAAACATCTGATTTCTTTTTATAAATAAAGCCACTTGTTACAATGTGGTAGATTATCTGTGGTAGGAAAAATAGGTAGTAGATATACAGCACAATCCAGCCAAAAATTCCAAGTCAAAATCCCATTGACCTCAATGGGGAAGACACAGCTCTGTTCCTTGTTTCCTGGAAAATCCGATTATCCGAGTGTTTGGAGTGCTGTTAGGTCATTTTGATGAAAGAGAGTGTGCTCTCTGTTTAATTCCTTATAATGAAGAGGTATCCTTCCCTGGCTTTGAGAGGGCCTCACTGTTCCAGTGCCACTGGAATCTACACATCCATATTTACTTGCCATCCACCCCATCAGCGCTGAACCCCTCTGGGAGGAAAAAGTCTCGATTTAGCCTTGTCTCCCCACAGCTGTCAGAGACTGATGGGTCATGGTGTGTGCAGATCAGGGTGCCTGTTACATGGATTTTATGTTATTTTTAAAAAAATGCTAGGCCACCCTGGAGAGCGGTCCACATTGGAAGATGATTTTGAAATGTGGATCCTGCTGGGTGGATCAGGATGCTGGTGGATATGTGCCCTTAAAAACAAGCAGACTTTTCTTTGAATATGGCTCATATAGCAACATCGTCTCAGTAGGAAGTACTGCTATTAACAATACCAAAGAAGCACCGGAATCAGCCAGCGTGGGTTGCGTTTCCTGGAAGGAACCAGGAAGGGCTTCTGGGCAACATGTACTGCTTCTGGCCTGAGGGGAAAGACCACAGACTGAGAGAGCTCAGGGGAAACGCTTTGTCTAAATAAAAGAAGGCGTAGCTTTGTTGTTTAGAAGGCATAGCCTGAGCGTGTCCTTGGAATGTGGAACACCAACTCTGAAATACCATGATTTCATCTTTTTCAAGCCCTCTGTACATGCTGGACAACTCCAGGGGTGGAGGGGGAGATTATGACAACCCTAAATAATACCTGACTTGTAATTCAACCCAACATTTATAAAGCCCTGCTGATAACTGTGTGGGCTGCCTCATAAGCTTTGCCACTACCTCCTGTTACTCCGAGAATCGCACAGTGGCGCATGGCAACCGCTTGAACACTGAGCTTCATTAGTTCTTAACGTATCAGACGTTTCTCTCCTTTGCTCTTGTCCATGAACAAATGTTGGCTTTTAATTTCTATCCCTGGTTATTGCTGGAAATAGTAAGTGAGATCAAACCTCTGTGCTATCTCAAATTTCTCTGTATTAAAAGACCAAAATTAATTTTTTTTTTAATTTAAAGCTTTCTTATTCCTGGGGCATTTTGTGTGATGGTACCCATTGCTAAGTAATATGTGCATTATACCTTTGCACACTTAGCAAAGAAGTGAAGGATGCATTTCTGTGCATCTTAGTGGCAAAAGTTATGTACTAACACAGATGGCCACAAGGCTCAGTCCCAATGTGATTGTGGTGGATTCTGCTAGCAGAAGCTGCTGTGCTACCTTCAAGGTCTGCCTCAGACAAATCCAGCTGTAGTAGTCAAGTCTCACTATTAAGATCCAAGCTGAGTCTTTATTTGGAGGATATGTCTGAATGCCCACGCTTCTGAATATTTATTTATGGACTCATTGTCTGCTACCTCAGCCCAAAGGCCTTCTGAGCATAATGTGGGGCATGCAGTATATTATAGGACATGGGTGATTCTAAGAGCACTAGTGCTAGTGCTAATACAAGCCACTATATAGCATTTTAAAATTGCTTCTCAGGCATTGTTATTATGACCCTTACAAACACCATGTGAAGAAGGTTAGTTTATGTATGAGGATGGAAGATCCAAGGCCTGGTTTTCCTGGAGAGGCTCTAGGATGCCTCCCCTCCATCCCAGCCTATTGCAAGGGGCAGGGGATTAAAAAGATGTACAGGATATGACGAGATCCATGCAGGAGGCACTGGGTTCACCTCTGCACGTACTCCATGGCTGGCATGAGAGCCTGCAGAGCTTTTTGCTCTGCCTCGTCACTGCCCCCACCACACGGAGGCTCAGGGTTGCACAGCCATCGAGTTGAAGGTTGATGTTCTCATCCTCTGAAGCCCCATTTTCTTCCTCAAGGTTCTACTGATGTCATCATCCAGTCTGCCATATCTTTAATTTCTTCTCTCCTTTGTTGCCTATCAGTTCGGTGCTGTGCAGATTGATGATACGATGATGATGATGATGATGATGATGATGATGATGATGATGGAAAGAGAAAATGCTTTTCTCCCCTACTAAGTGCAAAGAAGCATGATTCATTATTCAGCGGGAACAGAAAAGACTTTTGTAACTTTGAGGAAACCTCTCAGCAAAAACGATCTTTCATTTTTACTCAGTTTGATAGCAAATTCTTCTAATGCCTTAAGAGCTTCTTAACTTGAGGGATTTGTTCTGCATTAACTCTCTTTATGTAGTTTTGAATTTTTAAAATTGGGAATAGGCATATCTGAAAGGAACACCACCACCACCACCAAAAACCTGACTAGCTTTGGGAATAATTTCTAACCATGTATGGAAGCTGCTTCAGAGGAACACAGCTTCAGTGTGAAACCTTCCAAATCAAGCAGGGATTTATGCAGAGATAGAAACTGTCTGGGGCAGGTATGGGCTGGATATCATGGCAAATAGGCAGCTCCTGTCAGAAGCAGCTGCTCCTTTTCTCTGTCTCCTCCTCACTCTCTTAAGAATACAAAATGCCTGCGCTCATGGCAGTCACTTGCAGGTAGTGAGCAGAGGTGCCTAATTTTTGATGGCCCTTCAGCAAGACCTCCTTGGTGTGGCCCCTTTCTCACTGAGACCATCTTCTCAGTGTCATGGTCACCAGTTGCTATTGCTCCTTGTCTCATCACTGCCACCTCTTGCCTGCTGGACAGGGAGAAAGTCAGTCAACAAGTTTTTCTTGACTGTGGTGGACAAGCAGACTGCAATGCTGATGAGAAGCATTGCAATCTATTCGCCAGAAAGAATGTCACAGAAGCATCTCTTAACAAATACAGAGTGTCTTTCCCTTTCTATCCAACCTGCTACTCCCACAGAATAATGCGGAAGGCCAAAAGCAAAGATGACTTTTTTCCACATAAGCCTGAATTTGCAACAGGTCTTTTTCTGGAAATGATTGCTGCCTCTTGCTAGCACAGCCGAGAGAATGGCATCTGTTTTCATATCCAAGACTAAAGAACTTGGAAGCATGGTCTTTCCCCTTCTCCCCAAATAAATCCACTCCAGGTCTTCCTGCCTTCCTGGCTGCAGTTTTCCTTCACACCCAGTCTTTCTTGCTAGTCAACCTCCAGGCACACACACACTCACACCCAAAAAATGGAGAGTGCAAAAGTTTGTTGCCTCCACTTCTTGCTGGTGTAGACAGGAGAGCAAGAGACTGAAACCTGATGATAGTGTATCTGGGTATTAGAGAAGACTGCTGAAGACTGGGGGAAAGAAGCAGACACCAACTAACTGAGTTTTGAAATTGCCTGGCAGTGCTGAGTCAGTCAATTGCACACAAATCTTCTTTGTTCCTAAAATAAAAATGTTAAAACCTCCCCCCAGACCTTCAGCTCGGCATTTGATCTATGTTATTCCAAGGAAAGGAGGGGAAGGGAATAAACACTGGCCAGTACCATTCAGAACCAGAGAACGCAGGCTCTTTTCCACAAATCTCCAGGGATATCTGCAGCATGATTAGGCCAACGTCATGCAATGCCAGCTCCTGATGCTGGCCCTGATCAAAGGTTTCCTCACCCCAAACTTGTCGGCAAATGGCTTGGTTGGAGGCTGGAGAGAGCTGTGGGATAAAGCAGGAGACTGGATGCCGCTGCAATTCTGCTTTGTGATTTGTGCACAACAGCAATGACTGAGGAAAGTTTTAGGGCTCCATCCTAAAAACACCCCAAGAGTACACCATCATTGGTAACTGACACCTTCATTTCTGTTGTTTTATACCTGAAATATTTTTCCTCTTTCTTTCCACTCTATTCATAGCAAGCTGTTGATTTTTCCTCTCCTTAAATGTCTTTTCCTTTATTTCCCTTGTCATAACCATCTGGCATTAAAGAATAGCTGAGTATCTCTTCTATTGTACATCACTCACCTGGGTCCATTCACTTTCCACTTTCTTTTCGCCTCTTCTCTTAAATGCAATACACACTTATTAAATTCAGTGGAAATACTTCTTCTCTTTCAGTGGAGATTTCTGAATAGGGCACAGAGCTTTTTAATGTGTCTTCAAGATGATTCATCCCTTTGAATGTTCCCCCACCAACACACACACACCCCATTACAACCTTGCTAGCATTTACTGTGCATAGATATTGTGAGTGTCTCCTTTATTATTCTGATTTCAGACTATTTCTCCATCTTTGGTGTTGTTGAGGTCGATAGACAACAGCTTTTACAATACGATGTGCCACCACCCTAGCTCTAGACCACCCTGAAATCCCAGCATGTGTAGCACAGGCCCTTGGGAAGAATGCAGCAGGCGGGAGGAAACCCAGTGGAACATGGTTCCAGTTTTTAACAGGCATCACTCCCCACAAATTCTGTTTCATGTTATAGTCAAAAAGCAGTCGTGCTGGAAACTCTGGACAGAACGTGATCTAAGTGCATTCACCCCTCCCCTCAAAGAATGCATTGAAGTGCAAATTTTAATTAAAGAAGAGAGACCGAAAAATCAAATTGGGAAGTGCTTAAGAGTCCAGGGACAGGTTATTAGGAAGGATGAAAAGGGAGACAAAGAAAGACCTGAAGCCGCTGAGAGATTATAGATAAGCTGGGGGAAGAAGGGGTTGTGGTAAAGTGGGGAAAAGTGGGCGCTGAAGGGTGGGCAGTGCAGGGCCAGAACAGGCTTGCAGGAAAGATACTATAAATCAGCATTCATCTCCCACTGATCTCCTGATGTTTTGTATTCCAGCTCCCATTAGGCCAGGCACCATGACTGGGAGTCAGGGATTCCAGGGCCTGTAGTCCAAAATTCTGGAGAGTACCAGGCTGGGGAAGGATGCTTGCTTGCTGGTTGCCAGCTACAAAATAAATGATGCTGCCTTGGGAGACAAAATCTGACCTGTGCTCCAGGTAACTCATGATTGCCTGGAAGTAAATGCCTAGTGGCAGTTCCTCGAGCTTTCAGACCTGGGCCTGATATAACACACCCTCTCTGGAGATGCCTGGGAATGAATCCGGTGCTTTCTGCATGCACAGCAAGGATTCTGCAACTGAGCTATAGCCCTTCCCAGCATTAAGAGTACATTTGGAAAGATATGTTTGCCACAGGAGTAGTTAAAGGAAAGCAGGGCCACTCTCAGCCCATCCCTGCTGTCACTGGCAGCCACGGCCTGAGCTTGCAGAAGAGGGAGTGATACAAAGCAGGGCCACTTGACTGGCTCACCTCCTCGCTTTAAAATGTTTCAGGTAGTAATGAGAGGAAGATGAACAACCCAAGGCAGCTGACATGAACCTCCTCCTCTCCATTTCATCCTCACAACTACCCTAGGAGGTAGGTTAGGCTGAGAGTTGTGGGTGCCCCAAGTCATCCAGTGAGCTTCGGGCCAAGTACAGCTGTGGATCGATCTCCCAAGTCCCAGTCCAACCCTATACCCACTGGCTCTTGATTTCCTTTTACCTCCCCACCACTTTTGCTTTATGTGTTCTGCCTTTTTGAGATTGTAAGCCTGAAGTCAGAGTCTGCCTTATTGTGCTGGTCTTTAAGCCTGTGGCTGAAGAGCAAGCTGCAATTTCAGTTCAACAAAATGAATGGGGTGACTTGGGATGATTGTGGAATGTGGTCTTTGTGAATTCCTATATGGAATTACTCATTCCGTACCTCTCAGATGCTCTCAGTTCAGCATGTTTTGCAGCAGATGATGCCAATCTGCTGTGTCCAACTTTTAGCAATCGGTTTTAAGGTGTCTGTTTTTGTCATTGTGAACTTTCTTTTTCTATTGTTGTCCATTTTATTATTTTATTGCACTTTTAAACTTTTGCAAACTTGTTCTTGTGTTTTGCTTTTTCACTTGTTTTTGTTTGCAACAGAAGGCAGGGTAGAAATGAGTGTGTAGTGCTAGTGCTCTGGGTGACCTGTTGGAAGTACATTCAGGACAAAGGAAAAGAGAGGAGGACTTCATTGCATACAAGGAGTAGTTAACTTGCGGAGCAATGTGAGAATGGCCTCTAGTTGAGATGGCTTTGGAAAAGGAGGAAAAGCATGTTGGCTACCAGCCTCAATAACAAACTTGAAAGTTCATGTCCAGCTGCAGCCTACCTCTAGCTGCGAGATGTGGGGGAAGGCATGCATAATAATCTACTGCAGGGATGCTGGCTTGGACAAAAATCCATTAAACTCTGTGAGAGTTTCTTCTGCTGCAGGCAGCGCATCACAGACCAGTTTGGGCACAGTGCTGCAGAAATCGTGTGGGTGTGCCTCAGGTTTGCATGTGGACCATTCCCCCGCTTGTGCTCCTCCAGCCCAGCTGTGGGGAGACCAGAAGCATCCACCTCTGGATGTCGGCTAACTGATGTTTGCCATGACAAGGACAAATTGTGCTTCATTTAAATTACAGTTTATTGAAACAAGCCATGATCAAACAGTGGTTTCTGCAACTGAGTTCTACTAATAAACCAGAGTCATTATACCTCTTCTAGCTCAAAGGCCAAATCATTTTTGGAGAAGCTCTTGGGGGACATTTTCCAGTAGAGGATGGAAACAGAGGGAAAATAGGTGGAGTCAGAATACCAAAATGCAAGCATATTTTAGCTTAAATCTCTTCCTGTAAATAACTAACTCTGTTGACTTTAGAATGGGGAAGGCATGCAAAAGTCAAGAAATCACCAAGCAACTAGCAATTCATTAGAAAGGGCTGGGGCCAGAGGAGAGGGTGAGCGCATTTGGAAAACCCCAGAGGACCCGATTGGGCCCTGAGGCAGCCTGGATTGAGTTTACAGGACTGCTAAACCAGAGTTCCCACTGCAGAGATCATGACAAATTGCAGTTGATTCAAGCCCAGAAGTAAATGCTTCCAAACTTCTTTTCTGGGAAAGAGGGGAAGAGAGGAGGGGATGGAAGTGGGGCAGGGGGGGCTAATCTGTGCAGCTCTAATATGTTTCTTTCAAGTGTTTTTACGTTTTTGCTCTCATCTGTTAGTCTTTTATGTTTTTTTGTGTTTTGTTTTGACAGAGTCCAGTGTGAGAGACGTAATAGTGCTGAAATCCACATTGGGTAGGCTTTTTATTTCCCCCCTTATTTTATGTTTGTTGCACTGAAGGGTGAGAGTGGTGGAGGGGATCATAGAAGATGAATAAATTATTTCGATATTAGCAGCTAAGGTGCAAAGTAGTTAAGGGTCTCTGAAGCACTTTGATGTGTGTTACACGTAAGTCTCATGTGTACACATAAGCCCTGTTTTAATGTCACAAGCATCCAGGGTTCTGAGCATGGCGATGTTCTGCTGCACATGGCTTTGATTGCTCCTGCTATAAGCAGAGCTGGATCTGCTCTGAACCTCATCTCATTAGGATCTCATCAGGATGCCGCTGTGCCCACATTCCTGATTCCTTACTTGTCCTGCACATGGCAAGACTTGCTGCTGGAGAGCTGCAGTTTGCATGCTGCTTTCCAGTGCTGCATACGTACTCCCTCATGCTATGTGCTCACCTGCTTGTTCATGGCTGCCATTAGTTCAGAGCATGGCAGGAGGAGTTGAAAGGAAAGAGCTGTGTGCAGGGAAGGGGCCCTTGAAGTCGCCGTCCTTTTGTGCATGCTTGTGTTTAGCTCTGTTAGTTCTGCACAGGTGTGAAGCAGCAAAAAAGGGTGGAGAAATGCAGCTCTCCCCCAAAAAAATCACAGAGAAGAAGGGGTGCTGCCACTTGCTGCTGACCTTCGAGGCCAGTGAGACCAGCACCCCCTTTCCCTCAACCCAGAAGCAGGCCAGTACAGCTCCCTCCCCTGCATACGGCCCCGGGAGTTGGAACCACTGGTCAGTGGGATTTCATTGCGAGTAAGGCTGCTGAAGGTCATGTGGTTTACTTCTGAGTAGATGTGCATTGCAGCTAGTTGCTTCTCAAGCAAGAGGCAAAGAGAGCAATTAGGAAGACATGAAAAGACGCCACATTTTATTTTCCCGGGAGGGTGCATTTTCAAGTCAGGGAGCAGGGATGCAAGAGGAAAGCAACTGAAAGGTCAGGATTGTTGCCCTGTTTTGCAGGGCCCAAGCCTAGGTGGAACAGTTCTTCTCCCCCTGCCCCCACAGGGGGTAAGGACAGCTGCCGCTGAGCACACCTGAAATGCCACGTATACGACAACTGCAGCACAAGCAGGGGAACAGCTGGAATGAAGCTGGCTATGAGCATCCAGGAATAGAGGGAGAGGGGCAGTGACAGAAAAGCAGGTAGTCATGTGCTGCAGGAGTTACTTGGGCAATGCCATACTGCAATACAACAGTCCAGGGACACTCTGTCCCTATTAGTTTGTTGCCAAGAACTCTGGCTTGTCTCTCCTGCAAAAAGCTGGACAAGTTCTTGTTGGTTCTCAGCAGAGAAACAAGGCAGAATATTCAGCTTGCAAGTTGCAATAAGCAACCCAGAGACGGAGGGTCCTTGGGTTATTTGCCACTCTTGCTCAAAGTGGAAGTGATTGGGCACTCTGCACCACTACGCCCATTTGTTTATAATCATCCAATTAAAAACAAAGAAAACCCACCCTGGTTGTTCTGATGCGCAAACTGGCCCACTAAAATTGCTCAGGGGATCCAAGTTGGAAAGAGCCAGGAAACAAAGCAACACAGGCCTGTTTCCAGCATCAAATGGCAACAGATTTGGGTTTGTCAGCACAAAGCTGCAGTCAGTCCCATAACTCTGTCAGCAATGGTGGATGGACTCCAAAATACTTGTTTTTGATAGCCACGCTGATAAGTTTACTTTTTCGTACATTACAAAATCTAATATATGAAGCAGAGAATGCCATCCAGCCAAAATTGAGTACATTTTTTGAAATCCCACTTATCTCAATGGGGGAGTTGAGCATGTGCTTTACCTTCCCCCACTGAAATTACAGAGGCAAACATGCTTACCTTTAAGAGGAGTTGTGCGTGAGAATGAGACTAGCAAGGCTTTAAGTAGCTGAGAGGAGAGTCACCAGAGTGGGGCCAGACACATCAGAAGTGCCTGGATTAAAGCAGCACTTTGCCTGATCTTTATATACACGGAGAGTATGTGAAGTGTCCTTCTCCCCCAGGAACCTTTTTCCACCTTAGTGGCCCTCCCTCAGCTCTGCAGTTGGTTTTGTCTCCTCTACTCAGGCTGCTACAGGTACAGCTACATCCGAGAAGATGCCATCCTCAAGCTGAAGGGCCCAGACTACCTCGCCTCCAGCTGTCTTTGGCACCTCCATGGCCCCAAAGGCTACATGATCAAGATACGCCTGGAATGGACTCTTTCTGAATGCCGGGACCGACTGGTCATGTATGACGCAGCTGGACCATTAGAGAAGCGGCTCATCACTTCGTAGGTAGCCTTGAAACTGTAGGAGTATGAATGGTGAGGGGAAATGCAGGCAGTCTTAGGGTGCTTCTTCATGATGTGCATTGCTGCAAAACTCACTCCATTGGAGCTCAATGGGTTTTTAACACATTTTGGATCCAGCAGCCAGAAGTAAATTGAGGTGAGACAGGAGGGAGTTCTACTTCCACAAATACTTGAAATACTTGTGCAAATTTGCTGCTGAAAACTTTGTGCCTCTAGCACAATTCATACAAATCAGGGCCAACTTGTTTGTTTCTAGCTGAGGTGGTTCTTGTTGCAACATTTAACACGAGAAGTACAGAAGCCTCTTCCTCACTACATATGCACACAGTCTGCCTTGGTCACCTTGAATTTTCTGGTATTTGCCTGCAGATTTATACAAAATTCAGGCCTCAATTTCACAATTTGTGCAAATGTGCGTAAATTGCAGGGTATAAGCCTAAATTTTGTGCAGATTTCACCAGCTTTAAAAACAAAATAATAATTAAGCAAATCATAGCCTATAACCAGTACAGGGTTGAAAGAACATTTATGGGGCCAAGTTGAGAAAATGTGTTAGATTTTCACCCCCATATCAGATTTGCCATGTATCCCAATTCCTCCTCTCCAGTTTTCCATTTATAAGGAAGGCACTTGTCAGGACTTCCAGCAGATCATCTTTTTTTTAGTTTTATGATCCAGTTGGTGTGGTTGACCTGATTAATCTGCTGAATCAAAGGCCTTGTAGCTATGCTGTTAAGATGAAACAAATAGCCCTTTTCAGATTTTAAAAAAGTTAAATCGAAGATGTCACTTTTGACTAGCTACTTTATGCATGTTGTAATCTCCATCCTTTCATTCATGTCATTTATTACACTTCTGTAGTTCCGAATAGCTGCAGCTTTCTGGGTGTTTGCAAGGATTTAAAAAATTAAGAATACATTATGCATAGTATTTTAAAAAATCACAAACTATAAACGGACAGCACAAAAGCATACACACATATATCTTAAATAATCTTTAAATCATCAACAGAAAGAAAGAAAACTCCAGGAGCTGATCAAAACTTCATTACATGCTCCCATTCAGGTTTTTCTTAGCATATCTGTGTGATTTTATTCTCTTTTTCTTTATGTGTCACAAATTGATTTGTGATTTCACACAGAAATTGTAATCCAGGATCCTGAGTAACAGCTTGCTACATGCAGGACTGGCAATTTCCCCCTATTGCACAGCTTAGCATCAACAACTTTTGCTTAAAATAAATACACAAAGTAATGTAAGTTTCAAGCCCTCATGGCAATGGATATACTTCTGAATAAGGGGCATCTGTGTTCTGTATGACTGCATACTCAGCCCACACAGCCTTCATTCATTGTCACGTGAAATATTTATTGTCTCTATTTATTCTCTCATTTGATTATATCCTGCTTTTCCTGCCATGAAGCTCATGGAGATATACACAGAGTTCCAAAGCAACCTCCCATCCAGGCAGGACAATCATGAAAGATTTCTGCTGCCCTTACCTTACGCACCTGTACTTTCCACACCTTTGCTAGTCTTCCCATCAGCAGTTATTTCAGCAACACACACACAATGATTGATAAAGGGCCAACAAAACATCTTTTCAACCTCTTTCTGCCTCATTTTTCTTCTTCAAAGCCCCCTTCCACTTTCCTTTGCTTCCTACCATTTCGTCAATACATGCATCTCCTGTGTTTTCAATCTTTGCCTCAGGCTCTATGGCTGCAGCCGTCAGGAGCCTGTAGTAGAGGTGCTGTCTTCAGGTCCCGTCATGTCTGTGGTGTGGAAGAAGGGGATGTACAGTTACTACGATCCTTTCATCCTTTCTGCCCAGGCTGTGCCCTTGGAAGGTGAGCAAGGGGCCAGCACCCTGGAAAACCTGGGGAGGAAGGGGAGAGCCAATGCAGGGAGCAAACCATGAGCTTCCTTCAATCGATTTTATACATTCTGCCAACAGTTTTATGTCTGAGGTGCAGCATAACTGAGGTTGAGTAAGACTAGCAACATTATGCAACACTTTGGCCCGGAATTAATTGATGGCTGGAAAGAACCTTAACACTAAAATAAGAGCAGACATTAAGCACCAATGCGTAAGTCAAATTGTTGCCCTAAATGAGAGCACCTGACTGAGGCACATGGTTGTGCTGTAATTACCCACATTAGATCCTCAGCCAAGAAGAGGGACAACGGTCAGTCCTGCGGGATCAGGGCATCGCTTTCTGGTGCATCTATGGTCTGTCATGGACTGGGGCTGTCATGCAGTGGTGGAGCACACGCTTTGCTTGCAGCAGCTTCGGAGTTTCAGCTTTGGCATCTCCACTTAACAGGATCTCAGGCAGGGGGACTGGGAACCCAGGCAACATTTTGAGTGTGGCTCAGCTGACGTGCAGATCCACCTCTCTTTTCAGCCTGCCAGATGACTCTAACGCTGCGTGGGACCTGGGAGCTGCAAGGGAGCATCAAAACTCCATACTACCCCAGTTATTATGCCCCCAACACGCAGTGCACTTGGCACATGACGGTGAGAACTTGTCCTTCCTAGATGACCCTGAACTGAGTGCACTTCTCCACCTCAACAAGAAAATTAACTTCTGCCCCATGTGTGCTGCACACAGTGATAACAATGAGGTTGTGAGCAGCACGCCTCACTGTTCTTAATGTTACTATTATTTCTATTTGGCCCTTCTTTCAAAGAGCTCAGGGCAGTATACATAGTTCTCTCTTTTCTTCTCTCTGTCCCTGGCTCTCAGTCACACTTAGGCAATCTGTGAGGTTGTTTAATTGGAGAGATACTGACTGGCCAATATGTCCAGGTCCATGGCAATGTCGACCTGGGCTGCCTTGTTCATGATTTATTTCATTTATGAATTTCTATGCATCTCATAAGCCCAAAGCAGCTCTCTGGGTGGTTCACTGAGTCAAAAATCCAACAGCACAAAATAAAATACCAAATAACAAAATCAGTAATATTAAAATCAAATGTATATAATATAAAGCAACAGCAGGCCTACAACAACTGCATTCAAGTTAGTCCAAAGGTACAGCAGCAGAACAATAAATACAACATAAATGCAGAGTTAAAATTGGTTTTAAAAGAATTAAAATCATTTACCTATTAAATAAAAAGGTTTTTGCCTGGCACCAAAATAGAGTCGGAGCCAGGTGTACCTCTTTGGAGAGCTGATTCTACAACTGGGTAACCACAACTGAAAAGGCCCTTCCCCTAGTTGCCACCCTCCTTATTTCCTTAAGAGGGGGCTCTTTGAGAAGGACCTCGGACAATGACCTCAGGGTCCAGGTAGGCATAATTCACAATTCCGCTTTGCCTCTGTTCCCTTACTTTGATCAGGTTATTTGCACATAACCAGTAGAAGCTGGTGGCCGCAATGTTGCAGGGTAGTGAATCCATTCCAGGTTTTCATTTGAACCTTTAAGGCGTTATCCATGGATCTCAACCTAATTTTGAGGCTGCCTTTCAGCATCAAGGGCATCTCTCTCATAGTCCATAAAGTTTTCATATGTTTGGCCCACTTCTCTCTCTCTTCTCCCATGTTTTGCTGCACTGCCTTCTGTATTTGAGGCCCATGGGCAAAGCTGCTATTAACAATTCCATTGTAACAAATATGCTCATTACAACGAAAAGCAACTATTCTATCTTTGCAGGTCCCATCTCTGGAATATGGTGTTGTCCTTTGGTTTGATGCTTACACTCTCAGGAGACAGAAATATGACCTCCCATGCACTCAAGGGCAATGGACCATCCAGAACCGAAAGTAAAGAAGGCAATCCTCTTCTCTGTGTTGAGGGGGCTGGCTCAAAATGAGAGTGATCATTCTGAAGCCCCCCACTCGCATTTAAATATGTTGTTTTGATTCATCAGTGTGGCAGTAAAAGCCTGCCTTGCAAAGACCTAAAGATGCTTTATTGGTTGGCAGACTCAAAACTTTCAGTGGTGCCCTCTTCCATACCTACCTCTGCATCCTTGAGGCTGCAAAGGGGGAGGACAGCAAGGTGCTTCAGTGCCTTCTAGATGGTGAGGACTGATCATTTTGAAGGTGTGGAGGAGCAATCACCCAGGCAATCCTGTGCATGTCTAACCAGAAGTAAGCCCTGTTGGGTTGAATGGGACCTACCCCCAACCAAACTTGTTGATGTACATGTGAAATGTATCAGTGGCACAACATTTGCCATCTTATGAAACCTTTTCTAGACAAATTACTGGATCCATTTCACAAGTTTTGTGTCAAATTAGTTTCTTGCCAGATCTGTGTTATGCCCTGCAGTGAAATAACTTTCTTCATGTACCCTCCAGCTCATTGCTTAGCAAGTGGAAATTATCTCCCAGACTTGTGTTCTGTTTCCCCACTCCACCCACCATCGCCCGCTGCCCATGTCTCAAGGAGGCAGCTGCTAAGAAATGTTCTCTCCATCTGCTCCTCTGACATCATATCCTCTGCTTCTTTCAGTTCTTCTGGTCCTGTACTTTTAACAGCTGCACAACAGGCAGAAAATCAAGAGATGCTTCTTCTTTTTTTCTTTTTTGGTGACTTCTTCATGCTGGGAAAAAGACATTTGTTGGACTTTTGTTTTTGTTTTGAGCACCAAGTCTCTGCCAGGAGAAAAAGTGGCATTCTTCCTTTACTTTAAATCAGATCTGGGGGAGAAATATACAAGTACAATTGCCCAACACATTCAGGGTTGCTTAATTTAGGGACTAGGTACACTGCATCAAAGGAGAACATACTAGCTTTTTATGTGCACAGATCAGTCCTAAAAAGAGATCCAAATCTGAGTTAGCTCTTACTGCATGTAAGTTTCTCTTTGCTTCTTTCAGAAGTAACATCACATTGTCACAGGGGCAGTTCCTTTCCTCCCACTGTGACTTTTCAGCTTAAAACCACCTCCTGTTTTCTAAACTGGCTGGAGATGCCACCAGCATCCAAAGTCCCTGGGCAGCAGCTGGAGCTCTGCTACCCCAACCAGGCCCACCACAGATTCCATTCCAAGGCCTCCTGGGCCAAGTGACTGGGCCTGGGAGACTGTAATCCCGACCCTCTCTTGGGCGGTTGTGGGCAATTGTAACGGCAGGCGGTCAAAGCACTCCTACTGGTGCCCAGTGCTTCTGCCACTGCCACCAGGGGCTCTTTTCCATGGGATCTCTCAAACCTGTAACCAGCCCTGAATCTGGCCTTGGACTAGCTTCAACAGCTTTTCTCCTAAATTCCCACCTCACGTGAAGCCAACGTTGTTGGCTTTAGAGTGATTCTTCCTGTTCTTCTGCTTCTAAAAAAATAGGCTGTGTGGCCTGCGGACTTTGCAGGCCTACGCTGAAAGGATCCCAGTGGTGTCCAGCGCTGGTGTCACCATCAACTTCACCTCTCAGATCTCCTTAACTGGGCCCGGAGTGCAGGCTGCTTACAGCCTCTTTAACCAGTCAGATCGTGAGTACAGCTCCGAAACATGCTGCTCGGCACTTTTAAGTATCAAGTCGAAATCAAACCATGCCCTGTTCTTGTGAGCATTGCTGTCTTAATCAGCACGAGCCAAGCGCGGCGGAATGCTGTGGTAGCCGAAGGCTTGCTAATAGGCCTTCAGTATTCTTATCGCCTGGGGATATTTTCCTAAATGACTCAGAATTCATTCTCCCCAGCAATGCTGGTACCAGGGTGGATTCCCACCTACCCCTGCTTACCATGCCTGGCACCATTGGAGGGTGCCTGGAATTGCGGGGTGTTGGTGCTGGCACCACCGGTCACTGCCCCCTTTCATGTGCATTTTGCTTGTTTTTGTTTTGTTTTGTTACTCAGCAAGAAGTGGTAGCAGGCAGTTTCCACACAGGGCATTGCATACTTGTCTGAATAGTTTGTATCTAGCAAGCAGGTTAAGTTACCTGTGCGAACACCTCCACCAAGGCTCTTGCTGCAAAGGAGGTGGTCTATGAACACCCCCACCCACCCACCCTTTTGCTAGCAAAGCTTGCTCAGGGCTTTGTAAGCATTTGACAGATCTGCTTCTGAGGCCTGTCAAAAGCTGGCAAAGGTGAGTTTCTTACCTGCACACCCAGAGGAATCCCCATGCCCATTTCCTACCCCAGGTTCCCTATTGACACCGCTGTGTAACTGCAGTCATCTGCACTTCTGAAAGGAGAGCTATATAAATAATGATTTTAAAAATTCACAGTTGATTGTGAGCATTGGAGGAAAGTTCTTTCAATGCACATATATAGAAAACATGGGCAGCCCCTCCAAGGTACCTCTTTATTTCTAAAATGGTTCAAAATGTAATGCATGCGTCATCTGACTTGAACTTTGTATCTCAAGCAGTATGTTTTCTTTTTTAAAGCATGCCCCAGAGAGTTCCTTTGCTCTGTCAATGGGCTGTGTGTGCCAGCATGTGATGGGATCAAAGATTGCCCCAATGGACTAGATGAAAGAAATTGCGGTGAGCTTGATTTCCACTTCCTTCCTCCTCTTCCCAGCTGTGCTTCATTAGCAAACAGCTCTTCAGCCTTGGCTTGGCCTGAGCGGTTGGTCTGCTAAAGCCAAGAGCAAGCCAAAAAGGGTTGAGCCTCAGACTTGGACCAAATCTCTCTCTCCAGGGTTCACCAAACAGACATTTCTTCTTCCTCTCATCTGACCCTTTTTCTGCAACCAGCAACTGTTTGGTGCTGTCCTGGAATGTATGCAGTTATTTCCCTATTCTACAAGGTCCAAAAGTTTCTATAAAGGCTTAGTTATATGAAGGTCTGTGCATATCACATCAATTATGGCCTCCTTTCATGCATTGCCCAATTCAAGGTGCTGTTTTTAGCCCATAAAATCTGGTATGGATCGTGACTTGAACACCTGATGGAATGCCTCTCTTGACCTGCATACACCTGAGCAGTATAAATAGCATCTGAGGCCTTCCTCTGAGTGTCACCTCCAAGAGGCAGCAACAGTGGAGAGGGCCTTCTCAGTGGTAGCCCCTCCCATTATGGAATGATCTCCCTACGGAAGCCCAGCTAGCATCTTTTCAGGACCAGGTTAAGACCACCCTCTATCCCAGGCATTTAGTGGTGCTTAATGTTGTACAATACACTGTCTTTTCACATGTCTGATACTCTAATGAAATTGTTTAAATTTAATTATGTACATTATTTTAAATGTTATATATTGAAATTGTAAGTTGTATTTTATGATCTGTAGCCATGGTGTATATTTTTATGAATTGTTATGAACTGCTCAGAAAGTTTCAGTTCTACTGGCAGTAAGATCTTTAGGGGGAAATATGCTGGGGTTGAGGGTTGTTTATGGTATTTTGGGTCCACTCATTTTTGCCTTCAGCCCTCCCCAGTCTGCTTCAGCCCCCTCCACCGCTGGACTTGCCCGTGTCCTCAGGCTGAAGTGGAGTTGGCAGCCTGTCAAGGAGGAATCTTCTTGGAAGAGACAGTTGGGCAGCTCAGTCAGCTCCCCAGCCTGGTGTCCTACTACAGCTCCAACCAGGATCAGGCAGCAGGGCCTTTGGTCTGGAACATCTGCAGGGCAATTGACCGTGGAGGACAAGCCTAATTTAATTCCCATTAGCTGAGTGCCAGCAGCTCTCCTGTGTTGCAGTAAATGGTCCCTAATAGGCGTGTGAACTGTGTGCTCTGCCATCAACCTCGGACACCTGCGGGCAGTAGTCCAGAGGCAAACCGGATTTGTCCAAACTCTTTAACTGCCCCAGATTACAAAGTGGCTTGGTGAGTCTTCTGGCCAAACAGCCCCAAAATTGCCACTGTCAAAATGTTTATGTCCTACCTTTATGTTTTGATGCAGCATTTTAGTATTTCATGTTTGTGAGCTGCTCAGAGAACAATGCTGTTAGATGGATGAGGTGAATGCCATAAATAAATAAGGGGTTTTCTACTTGGGGGGTTTCCTAACTCACTGCTTTATTGAGACTTCTTCTGGTTTTGTTGTGGGAGGAAAAACATCTCCTTTCTCCCCTGGGGTTTGTATTTTTCGGCTTTCTTATATTCTATGAACCAGTCACAGGCAGTGCTGTAATACAGCTATGTAAATCATAGTGGATTTGCAGCAGAACACTAGGATGTTGTTCCCTTCTTTTGCAATCTGAAACTTAATACCAAACTTCCCCTGCTTTAAAAAACAGCCATGAACAGGGCTGGAAAACATGGGAGAAGCTTTGGAAGATGAGTACACAATGAAAAGGTCGTCCAAATTTCTATGAGTGAGGGATCACAAATACAAAATAAATGCCTTGTGTAGAGGAGCCCTAAAAGTAAATACCTGCTCCTCAGGGAAGTCGGCAAAGAAGCTAACTTACCATTTCAAATAACAGCCATCATTTTTTTAAAGTACAGGAATGCAAGCTAGAGCAGTGAGCCTCATCAATATTGTTATTAAATGCATGCAATGAAAAGAAACCACATTGCAATAGGCTAGAAAATGTTGGTTTTTTCCAAACAAGTGTGCTTTGAAACAACTTTTATTTTGAGGCTTTTCTCAGAGGTGATATTAAAATTGCCTACAGACATCTCCACTAGATGCATTTACCAACCACAGGTGAATGTGCCTCAAAATGAGTTGGGCTTAGAATAAATCTTTATTTCCCAGCATCCTGAGACATGGACTCCCTTTGTTGTGGATAGGTATTGTATGCTATCCTTGGTTGGGTTGGGTGGGTTGTGCATTGCTCATTAAAAACAGAAAGCAGAAAATAAACCCAAAGAAAACAAGAAACCTTTTCTCACCCCACTCCCAACTCTACTGTTCTTCAACTTGAGGGTTTTTCCTGCTCTCCCTGTTCACTCACCTTCTGAAATGCTTTGAAATTTTTCCAGTATGCCCTGCAACATTCCAGTGCCAGGAAGACAGCACCTGCATCGAGTTCTCCAAGGTTTGTGATAAACATCTGGATTGCATCAATGGAAGTGACGAAGAGCAGTGCACTGGAGGTATGAATGCAGGGATCTGTGTGAGGATCTTGGACCAAAGCATTGGCAATGATATGAAGGGTCAGCAAAGTGTTTCCTCTGCACATCCCACAAGGGACATACTGCCCTCCATTCAACGAAGGCTATTAGTGAAGGACAGATTCTTCTGTGTCCCAAGCTGGGAAAATACATCAAATGTCATTGTACTGCTAGTGGCACTTTGGGAGCAGGAAGTAGCAGCTTTAGGGGAGAAATGCACCTCTGAGGAATAGTTTTTTGATGGGAAATGACAGAGTTAAATCCATTCTTCACCCACATGGCACTTGGACTGGGAGAGCACATAGCTGTTTTCTTCAGAATAATCAGATGTAGCCTGTACTAGGGACTGCAGGTGGCGCAGTGGTTTAAATTGCTGTGCTGCTGGGCTGGTTGATCGAAAGGTCGCCAGTTTGAATCTGCACAATGGGGTGAGTTCCCGTTGCTCCATCCCAGCTCCTGCCAACGTTGCAGTTTGAAAGCATGCAAATGCAAGTAGATAAAAAGGTACCACTTCGGTGAGCAGGTAGCAGCGTTCCGTGCACTTTGGTGTTTAGTCACGCCGGCCACATGACCACGGAGACTGTCTGCGGACAAACGCTGGCTCCCTCGGCTAGGAAACGGAGATGAGCATCGCCCCCTAGAGTCAGGCATGACTGGACTTAATGTCAAGGGGAAACCTTTACCTTTACCTTTTTAGCCTGTACTAAGCACATTAATAATACCCCCCCACACACACACACACAGACAGTTTGGTCCTATATTGTATAGTCAATGCAATATCTGTATTGGATCAGCTGTCACCTCCCATCTATCCCAGTGGGTGGTATCCAGTGCTGCTGCTCCACCACTCCCAGTTCTGTTGTACTCACAAGATCCACCAGTAGCAACAGGAACTAACACTTCCAAATGAACCCTAGAAACAAGCGGAAGCATTTATTCTTCTGCAAGCTTCACTGATCTGTGCCTTTCTAGAAATTAGCATTTTTGCTCATTTCTGATTGCTTCAAGGGCATTAGGCTCCCATTACAGGACCAGCGAATTGGGATTCTGCTAGCATGGAGGCAGCAGTGGATACTACCCACTATTTCCACCACTCAGTGTTGGTTTTTTAATTCACAGTCAGTAGAGAATTTCAAGGTCAGGCATGTGATTTTGTCTTCTGTGTTCTGAAACAGTGTTACCCAAAGAAAGTGATACTATCTTGTTTTTCTGAACATTCAGTCTTTAATATAATGTACAAGACTTTTGGGACAGAGACTACATGATTTTCAAACTTTGTTCAGAGCTTATCATAACCTTGGCATTACACTGTAATCATAGTTTAGAAAGTAGTCATCATAGCTGTAACAGTAGGAATAACCCCTAATTTCCAATAACACCCCTAAATACGTACGTCTTCATAGGTATTCCCTGTGGACTTTTCACTTACCGGTGCACTGATGGGAGCTGCGTGAAGAAGCCGAACCCTCAGTGTGACTCAGTCCCTGACTGCAAGGATCGGTCTGATGAGATGCACTGTGGTAAGATGCTCACAGGAGAAGATCTTCCTGGTTGGGAGAAAGGCCAGCAACCAGCCTGGAGGTGCTCCCTCCACCGGGAGTGATAACTGGCAGAGGAACAGCACAAAGGTGCTCTCTTTGAGCTGACATCACTAGGCTGCAATCCAGCGCACACTTACCTGGGAACCCGTAGCAGTGAACTTAATATAGCTCGCTCCTGAATAAACATGCATAGGATTGCACTGTTAGAATCCCAGATGGCGATAACGATAGATTGCTGCTGGGACGCATCTTAAGGGATGCAGCAGCTGTACTGCTATTAAATGCCCTGCTTGGAGGAGACTCAAATGCTTGATTTATGCTATGCTGGAAAGCCGTCTTCTCTTTATTATACACAAATGCTATGGATGCAGCAAGTCAAAGCAAAATGTTCCAGGGACTTCTGAGAGGAAGAAGTAATTGAGTCACAAAGAGAGAAAGAATTAGAGGCTGCTTCAGCGGGGGGAGCTTTGCTCCTGGGCTTTCGGCCTGCTGCTGAATTCCGGTCATCTGGAGCCATGAGTAGGAGTGGCTGTTGCATTCCTGGCCTGCTTGTGGGCATCCCTTAAGCATCTCATTGGCCTCTGTGGGAACCACATGCTGGATTCCACAGGCCTTCGTCCTGATTTGGAATGGCACGTGTCCTGTTCTCAGTATTTGCTCACAAGAGCTGCCGCTGTGCACTTGTATCCCAGATTGGTTGCTGAGCCTTCCTCCTGGTTAAATCAGTCTGGTAAGGATCCCGTGCCTTTGCAGCAGTCAACAAGGAAACTCTGAAGAGCGCTCTTTTGTAGGGCTCAAGAAACAGAGGTCAAGTAATAACGTGAAATGAAGCAAAAGGGGGGTGTGGGAATCAGGTGGCTATTCCTCCCCTCTACTTGCCTTTCCCCCAGACACCCTTCCCATCTTCTGGAGGCTTTCTCTCTTTTCACAGACTGTGGAGTGCAAGACGCCCCAACAAACCGAATTGTGGGTGGCTCGCATTCGGTGGAGGGAGAGTGGCCGTGGCAAGCCAGCCTGCAGGTTCGTGGGCACCATATTTGTGGGGGAACCCTGATTGCAGATCGCTGGGTGATCGCTGCTGCTCACTGCTTCCAGGAAGAGAGGTAAATGCGGACTGGAATCATGAGAAGGAGAGGTCAGGTAGCTCACCGCCATTCAGAGGGTGGAAGGAACCATGGGAGGAGCTGTTGGTCCAAGGCAGAGTACCTGCTTTATATGCAGAAGGTGCCAGGTGTGAGCCTCACTTCTCCAGGCAGAGCGGGGAAGGAGTTCTGCCAGAGACCCTGGAGAGCCGAGGCTGCCATTCAGTGTCAGCAACGCTGGGCTAGATGGAGCCATGCTCTGACTTGGTTTAAGGCCCCCTCCTGGGTTCCTGTGTATGTTCCCTGCCCTCAGAGTTCCAGCCAAAGGAAACTCCTGAGTGTCCCCTGTGAGAGCCAGTGTGTGGCACATGGTTAGAGTGTTGGACTGGGGCGCAGCAGATCTAGGTTTTCATCCCCCAGCAGCCATGGAGCCCACTGGGTGGCTTTGGGCCAGCCACATACTCCCAGGTTAACCTGCCTCACAGGGTTGTTGTTCTGAGAATAAAATGGAGCAGAGGAGAACTTTGCAAGCTGTGTGGAGTTCCTATCAAGAGGAAGAAAGGCAGGATAAAAATTTAAGGGGTACAACAACAACAATTGGAATAAATGTGTAAATCCCATTGAGATCCACATGGCCTTGGATGCTTCCAGGTGAGGCTTGGCAGGGGCTGGAGCTCCGTGGTGGGACACCTGCTTTGCACACCAAATACTGCAGGTTGGGCCAGTGGCATCTCAAGGGCCATTCAAAACTTCCTGCCTGAAATCCTGAAGACCTACTGCTGCCTGTCCACCTCAGCCATACTGGACGCCATGGAGCAACACTCACGGGCCGTGCTAAGAGCCTCCTAAGGAGACTCTTCTTTGCAAAAAGGACAGGGGAGAGGAAGGCATTAGACTGCAGAAGAAAAAACTCAGGCAGAAAATTCGGGCAGAGAGGGCAGGAGGGAGGAAGCACATACAAGCCCAAACAAAACAAAACCTTAAAAAGCAGGTAATCCAGGAGCATCCGGTCCAGTGAAGAAGGATCCTCAGTGTCCATGTGCCTTTCTTTCAGCAAGTACCTATGGACAGCAATGGGAGTGGGGGGCAGGGAGGCATCCCAGGCATTTGGGGCTCCAAATCAAAGGATGGGCCCCAGCCATGGTGGGCCACGTCCTTCTGCTGCCTTGCCAACAGAAGGTCCAGGATCCAATCCATGATATGTCCACGTCACTGGATAGGAAGGAGATGAAGGGGACAGGTTCTCACTCCATGAAGTCATGGAGCAGTGCTACCAGTCAGCGTAGACAATATTTGGGTGGATGGACAAATAATTTTGTGAGGTATAGGTCTCTTTCCTACCTTTTCCAGCACGGCATCCACAAATACCAGTGTGCCCATGGACATCTGTCCTGGCGCCTGTCAGTTTCACTGCACCCTCCTGATTTTTTTTTAATTTTAAAATATACAATTTTTAATCTACAGAAATAAATGGAAGGCTGGCTTGCTGCAAGGTGACTTTTCAGCCTCCAGCATCCTGTTTATTTCCAGGAATGGCTCTGGGCCTGCATCTCAGCCTCAGCTGTTTGCCTTCTGTGAAAGCAATGCTGGAGCAGAAAAAAATGAGACTTTGCGTGGTGGAGCTCAGACTCCACCTCAGTTCTTGAATGGGAAAGCACTTGCCTCCCACAACACCATCCATTCTGTGGGAGGGCCCATGGCACCTTCTCAATAGTCCAAACTTGCCCACTGACCCCAAAACCCCGTCTAGAGAGGAGGTAGCAGACAAGAGCTTGGTGAATCTCTCGCCCACCCTTCTGCCTCGCAGACAGGCGTCCCCCACGGCCTGGACCGTCTACCTGGGGAAGCACCTTCTGAATGTCAGCACCCACAATGCGGTTTCCTTCAAAGTGAGCCGCATCTTGCAGCACCCCTACTACGAGGAGGACAGCCATGACTATGACGTGGCATTGCTGCAGCTCGACCACCCAGTCATCTACTCAGCCTTCATCCAACCCATCTGCCTGCCTGCCAGCTCCCACCTCTTTGAGCCCGGCCTCCTGTGCTGGATCACTGGCTGGGGTGCTACCAAGGAAGGAGGTAAATACACCACTTTTTCCTTTCAAGAATCCCCCTTCTGAGACTTCAGACTAACCCTCACAATGCTGCACAGTCAGAGGCAACCTTCTGATAACGAGGCGTCCTAGGCTTTGCAGGAAGGAGCAGCTGTGCGGCTTACATTGCCTACTCAGTCAGAAAGCTAATTGAGCGTCACAAGAGAGGTATAGAACAAATGCAGAGTGCTTTGCAGCAAGGTGCTCTCAAGCGCCCTCTTGTGGACCTTTGCATAAAAACATGCAAAAGTCATGCTGATTTGACCATGCCATGAAGTGGGTGGACACATCTCAGGACTTGTCCCACCCGCTTCACTGCAACTAGAATGCCAGGATCCATCAGCCAGGAGCAATAGATATATGCCTAGCATTACAGAACCAGGTGCAACTGAGCACATCGGGAATTCGTTTTCAGGGCTATAACTGAATGGCAGTTGCATATTTTTCTCATAAAGGTCCACCCAGGTTTTCTTCATTTCAGCAGCTTAATTTAGTGGACCCACTTGTTCAGTTGCTGCCATTGCTAGGCAATTGAGAGTCAAAACCCCTTGGTGATCTCCAGCAAGTTGCCAAGATAGCGACCCTTTTTCTAATATATTGAGCTGCATAACTGGCAGCTCAATCAGCTGAACAAAGTGCACCAAGGTTGAAGCAGGAATATGGAAAGACTGACTGCTCCATGGGGAAGCTCTCAGGGACAGCAAACTCAGGGGAACATAGGGTTGTTTATAAGCTCCCTCCTGAGGCTGTAGGCACTGAAAGAACCTGAAGGGGGAACTCTAAGATCTGATCTCCTGCTCCTCACAGAAACCTTGGGAAGAACCTAGAGGCTGCTCCTTGAGGCTTTGGGTAGGAAGGGGAATTCCAGGGGTGGGGGAGAGCTGGAATAAGAGCAATTTTATGGCCACGGCAGCTGGGACGCATCTCCAGCTCAGAGAAAAGCTTCGCAAAAGAATGGAGAGGCACATTGCAAATTGCCTCCATTGACAGCAGCAGTCCAGCTTCCATTGGATAAGTGGAAGCCTTCAGAGACTTTCCCCTAATGAGAGTGGGATCCATAGCGTATGATGAGATCAGCATTTGTAATCAGTGCAACAGATCCCAAAGGTGGAACTTTTGGGCATGTGAAATTCAAAAGCCTAAATTTGAGCATGGTGCAATTGGGATTTTTTAATTTCCCAATTTAAGAAACTTTAGAAAGGGCCAGTCGTTCGAAGAAAGACCATTTCAAATCAGAAAAAGTTCCATTTACATTGTTGCCTTCAAACCATTCTGAAAGTTAAATTGAACTACATGCCTCAGTCATAAATTTCCCACAGTGGTTAGAAAATGGATAGCATAGCTTGCCTCTATAGATCTCTTCCACTGCATGAATGCATCCTTGTGAATGAGACAGGGAGAGGTGGTCCTTAGTACGAAAGCGCATTCCCCAGTCTATCAAGGAACTGACCAGGCCTGGAATTAAGGAGGGTTTGCATGGCATAAACCCTTCTCTGCATGAACCAGCAGGAAATATTTGCCCAGTCTCTACTGAATGTGTGATTAGGAGACGTTCTCGTGAACGGGAAACCACGTCTTGTTCCTTTGCACATCCTTGCTAACCATATACCCTGCACAGGCACCACCAGTAAGATCTTGCAAAAAGCCGATGTACAGCTAGTGCAGCAAGACATCTGCAATGAGGCCTATCACTACCAGGTCACTCCCAGAATGCTGTGCGCCGGATACCATGATGGGCAGAAGGACTCTTGTCAGGTAACCCCGAGCAACCGTTTTCACCATGCGTAGGGCCAGCCTGCCGTTAGGCCCCGTGAGGTGGCTGCCTGACACAGGAGCCTTTTCGTGTCCCAAAAGAGCGGCAGGCTATTGCATACTTCGTTATTAGGGCTTTTTTACTGCCAAGGATTGAGAGAGGTGGCTGGGGAAAATGCCGACGCAGCCTGACAAACGTGGGCATTATGCAATTTGACGTGGATGGGGGCCCATTCGTTGCTCTGCCTTGGAGCGGCCCCGACTCCATCGATGGTCTTCAGCCTGGCTGCCACCCGCATCCCCCACAATGCTGCCATGACCCTGCGTTGCTCCAAAGCATGAGTCCCCTAGATCCGGGGGGGGCAGGGGGGAGTGGATGTTTTCCATTTGCCGTGGAGCAATAAACCTAATACAAAGAAAGAGGTGCGGGGGCACTAGAGCGGTCGCCCAAGAAGAAAGGGCACAGCAGCCCCCAAAAGTGTGGGGGCCGATGCTCCAGAGGATGGCAGCTGATAGGGAGAGAGGGCAGCTGCCTCAAAAGTAAGAGGGTATCTCACCAATTCTGCCTAGTGGCCCTGTTTAACTACTGAAAATGGAAGCAATGTCTTCTGAGGAATACAGGGTTTATATTTACAGGCACAGAGCAAACTGCAGAGCAGCACCCTTCCATTTGCCTTCCCCTCCCATGCAGGAAGCCGTCTTTTCTGCCATGAAGCCAGTTTTGTTTCTCTCCTAGGGTGACTCTGGGGGCCCTCTTTCCTGCCAGGAGCCCAGCGGCAGGTGGTTCCTCGCAGGTGTGGTGAGCTGGGGAATGGGATGCGCCCGCCCCAATAACTTTGGCGTCTACACCAGAATCACCAGTGTCATGCAATGGATGAAGCATACGATGTTGATGTGAACAACGTAAAACCTGGCCTTGGTCCCACGAGGCTCACAGGCTGACTGGAGGAGCCACTTCCTGTCTTCACCATGCATCTCCAGTGTCCTACATTGCAGGGATCTCCCACATCTGGTCCAAGGCCCACCTGGTACTGGGGCATGGCCTGCCCAGGACATTTCCATGTATAACAGAAGGAATCTTAGACTCATTAAGGGAAGATGGGACAGATTGTCTTGCATGAAAGCCAATGTGGGATGTCCCTCACAATCAGGGACAACTGAAAGGTGTGGTTCCCTGCCTGCAAAGGCAGTGATTGTGGTTTGCTTTTTTAAAGTAAACTAAGATGGTTAAACTGATGTCTTGGGACAATCTTGGCTATTGAAGGCAGGAGTAGCAACACAAAGCTTTTTCCAGCCCTCAGCACAGGACTGAAACTAATAATTCCAAGTCAGGATTAACAGGCATCCGAGACCATAGGGGTAAGAGGCACAGACCATGAGCAGGTGCCCGGGGTGGGTGGGGGGATTGTTTTTGAGATTAGGTGAACTTCACAAGAATGTTTTAATTTATGCATTACCCCAGCTATTCTGAGCAAAAGAAGCCAGATTATGGACTTCACCACCTAGAAGACAATAAATCCTACCTGGAAGGGGTCGCCACAAGGTTTCTGTATCTGCACAGGAACCATGACTGGGTTTCAGGGTTCCTTCTCCACTCAGCAGCAGTCTGCCCAATACCACTCACCTCCACAGTCCTGACCGGCTCACTGCCTGTATCTCTGTGTGTGTTGGGATGAAGAGGTCATCCTCACTTTGAAATCTGCATTAAGTGTGCCCGCTTTCCCAAGAAAGGTGGGGCAAATTGCCAGAGACTTTTGCTTTAGAACAGTCTGTCCTGACTTGGTGCCATCCACCTGTTTTGGCCTTCAACTCCCATCAGGTCCAGCCAGCTTGGGCAGTAGTCAGAAACCTACTGGAACCAACTCAGCATTCCCAACACTGGCCATGCTGCAAGGTGGCTCTCAAATTTGAAGGCCAAAACATCTGGACATCTTCCTTCTGCCCCATCACCCCTGCCACAAGCAGGAGATTGCGAACTTATTCTTTCTGAGCACAAAGGGATTTTTGCCATACGCTTCCATGAAGCTCTCCCCACCCATATGGAAAATCTGAGATTACTCCTTTTAGTTTCAAGTATCTGCCCTTCATGTCAAGGACAACTATTCAGACTTATTGAGGTTCTAACACCATTGCCTTATGTACATTGCTTTGAGAATGGTATCATTTGTTCTTGAAAATGCCAGCCTGGTTCATCTTTTCTTTGCTCTGTCATTGATGAGGATCTATTTGAATGAGCAACAACTTGACCCAATCCACATTTACTGTGAAGTAAGCCTACATGTTTTCCATTGCTGTTTAAAAATGTGTCAAAGAAATGGTGGCATCCAATCCAGTCGTCCCTTATGATAGATATGAAAATTACAAAATGATTCCCCTCACCCTGGGGAAAGTGCACAGCTATGCTGCAAATCTTAAACCAAGCACAGATGTGTTTAACTGATATGAATTCAAAACAAGAAACCTGAGTTATGTACTTCTATGACTGGGCTGAAGACTCTGGGAACAACGCACCTTCTGAAGGGACTCCTGGGCTGCAACTGACACTGGGCAGCATCCAACCGTGTCATTCTGCAAATGAAACTGGCTGAGCTCCTCTGAATCATTCCACTGTCCAAAGATGTGCGCACTGCATGCGTCGGCAGAGTGCGTGGCCCATTCCTGAAAGTTGTTGCATGAGCAGAACTTTAATTGGATTCTCCCCTCAATAATGGTTCAGAAAAGTTTCTGCTAGTGAAACATCGGTTACGGTAGCAGAATGACTTGGTTGGATAATGCCCAGTGAAACACTGTGAGGGTAAGAAGCATTTCCAGTGAACATCTGCCTGAAGAGTTTTCAGATGTCCTTGATAACAAGCTTGACACCCTCTTGCTAAGCCTCCTGCTAAGCAGAAAGAGGAGGGTGATTCCCTCGTCTCACAACATAAATGAAATTTCTTTTTTATCCCAAGAAATTGTGCTGTTTGTGCACACACTGGCCTTAAAAATGTTATCTGCTCCTATAAAACAAGGGCCAAGTTTGTGACCTAAGGGGACAAAATGGATTGGCAGGATTCTTATGCCTTCACTGAACGAACTTTTCTGCCCTGACAGCGAGCACCCAGTTGACATGGCTAAGATGACAAGAGACAGTTATCATGCTCTGTAAAATTTATTCAAGAGTTCTTACACAGCAACCTCAGGCACAATTTCATGCTACCATCCCGTCTAACAATTATTGGTAGTGCCACCATACTAAAATTGCTTGGCTTTATCTCAGAAGTAAATTGTGTCCTCTTACTAAGAGATACCCCAAGAAATATCCTGTTTTCATTTCTGTTTATCGAAATGAAACTTGTGTCTCGATGACGGGGGGGGGGGGTTGAGGGTTCAAGCCTGTGGGGGGACCATCTTGTCTACTTTACAGAATGTCACTACCCAAGTGATAGCAAGAACAATGGCAGGTGGCAAGAGAAGTGCATCTCACAACAGCCATATAGAACACTTGCCATCTATAATTACGGAAGAAGGTGCAAGAGGAAGACTCATGCTAGAAATCATGTCCAATCACTAGGAATATTGAAGTTGCTTTTATCTCCTATAGGGTTGCCTAGATTACATGCCAGAGGGTACTCACATCCCTTTAAAATCCCCCAGTTGGATTGTAGATAGCTTGCCGTACAGTTTCTGCTTGCCACATAGCAAAACAGGATCAATCACGGCAGATCGAGGAGCAAAGAGGCGAGCGTGAGTGCGGCCCCTGCTGTGTCAGGAGATTCTAAAAGGCATCCAGCTTGCATCCCTGCTCCCGTACACAGTACGGTCTCAAAAGGAATTGATCTGGCTGACATCATATCCTTGACAAGAGCGCAATCGCTTTATCCACTTGCAGCAATAAGCACTTGGTTCGGGCAGGTGTTTTTCTCTCTGCTGTCCTAAAAAGCTTAAGCAATATGGGATCTGCTCTCCAGGAAGGCCTGTAGCAGCAACCATCTGAACAAACATCCAGCGGATCTACTCATGAGTAAGCACCCCAGCCTACCAATACCCACAAGAGACTGGGGTGCTTTACCACTCCCAAGTTCTTTTGCTGCTTTTTGCCATTGGAAATGGCACGTGCGTTGTTAAAAAAAAAAAAAAAACTCAAATGCAAATAGTTCTGGGAGAAGACGGGATATATTGGTCCTCTTCCTTCTGAGCAAAGAATTTGGTAGCTGAGCAAATTCCTATACTCCAACATATAAAAACTAGCTGAACAGTAATGGCCTCCCATAAAGAAATCTGGGAATTGTAGTTCATGGCATAATACAAGAAATTCTTTGCTTAAAGCAACGCAAGCCCTTCTAGACGTACAGTTCCCAGGATTGCATGGTCAGGAAGCATGACTGCTAGCAAAGTTTGAAGCAGATTTGATAACCATAGTACAGACTTTTACCATTTGTTAGGCTTCCTCCCACCTTGCAGACTGGAAGTGGGGGACAAGAGAGAGAAAAGGCACATCAGTGGCTGTCATGATTTGGAGTTGCTGTGAGTGTGGAACACCAGCTCTGCACTGGAGAAAACCCTATTTAAGGTACAACCCCCACCCTCATCAATACTGGAGCAATGATTAAAAGCAATCATACCACTCCCTTCAAAAATGCAAAAAAGCAACAAGAGTGCTATTTTAAAAGGGCAAAATGCAGTATTACCCCAACTACAACCACCCACCCAAGTTGTGTTTTGTTTTATTTTTTACAAAGTACAGTACAAAAATAAAGATTTAAAAAAACATTCTTTAAAAAAAAGACATGGATCAGCAGCAGCATATCCTGAGACACCGGGACTTGTAACAACTGAAAAAGTGATGAGAATGAAACAAAGGCAGGAGGCAGAAGACGTCAAGCAAAAAGAGAGACACCAACTTGAAATGATGCAGAAAAGGGAAAGGGGCTGTTCATACATCAGGGCAAGCCACTGTGAGTTAATTCAAGCAGGGAGCTCCCTGATTGCAAATGCAAAATGATGGCCAGTGTCAAACCACGTGGGGGACAGAAAAGGGCATGCAGGGGAAGGCGTAATTGACAAGCCACCTACAATTCTAAAATGGTTTGTGGGTTGTGGGTGCTTTGTTAACCACGCCAACTGCCCACTCTTGCCGGGTACGCATGACACAACAAATAATGGTGCGCCCTGCTGTGGCTTGCAATCACAGCATGGGGTCGACACACAGCACAGAGCCTCTGTGGCTGAATTAACCCAAACGGCTTACTGTGGCATGTGAGCCAGGAATCTGACCACCGTCTGCCCACACATGGGGTATGAGACTATACGTTGCTCAGGCCACAGCTGAGGGCCAAGGAGTTTCCGCATCAGAAAGGAAAGGTGAGACTGGCATTTCCTAGACCCTCTAGCCTCTTACCACAGATGATGAGCCAAGGGAGAGCTGTGCCATGGTATCCCAAAACTTCCAGAGCAAAAACGAGGCGCTCCTACAGCCTGAGGAGGCAAAAGCTGAGGAAGAGGCCAGCATGCTTCCCTTGGGTGAGGAGCTCCCATGCAATCTCTGCTCCCATGAGGGAAATGGCATCTGTACAGAGAAAGGAAGGCAGACCGGGGCACTGCCAAGCATGCATGCCAGCAACTGTGCTTTGCCTTCCTAGGGGAAAGGGCAGCCATTCCGGGAGAAGAGCTCATGGATCTGGGATGATGAGTGGTAGCTACAGTCTTCCTCTCATTGGATTTCTAGCAGAAATCAATGGCTTTAAGGGCACTTAATGCTGTATTGGATTGCTACTAACACGTGGACTCTGCCACAGAAGCAGACTTCTTGGGAATCCCAATGTTAAGTTTCTAGATTTCAAGGTTATGAGACAAGAAGGGGAAGTGGGGAGGCTGACAAAGAGGGCCTGAGGAGCAACAAGCAGGGAATGTCAGGGCAGGTCTGGTGAGCTCTGCTGTTTCCTCACCAGCGGCTTCTTCGGGGCCCAGATTCTCCCTTCCACTCGGTTTTGACAGGCCACCGAGTTTGCTCTTGGCAATTCTTAGAATTAGTCATATTAAGCAGAATGTAAACCTGCATAGTTAATCATGAGCAGTAATTGTAGATTTCTGCAGGGCAGAATGTGGTTTTCTTTCTGATTTCAATGGAAGCAGCACTGTTGCCCGCTTTGGGAGGGCTCGTATCTGCTGAACTGGGGGAGCACAGGTGCCACACACAGAAGATGCCCAGACTCAGTCTCTGGCTTCTCCAGTTGGTATGATCTCAAGGAATTGAGGAGGGGAAGACTTCTAGCTGAAGCTCCACCACCAAGCACGTTGCATTTGACAGACTGAGTTGCTGCAAAGAGAGTTGCCTAAAACAACGGCATGTCTTTACATGTCACCACCCCAGCTCCAGAATTTTTCACCTTCTGCCCCAGGAACTGCAAGAGCAACCCTGGAAGACAAATCAGAGCAAGGAAGGGCCTGACACCATGACAGCCCCCCAGAAGAGCCCAACAGAGAGAACGGAAGGCTGCTGGTCACTTGCACAAGTCCGAGATGCAGAGGAGGGGTGGGAGGCAGAGGAGGAGGAAAAATCCAAGGCCATATGAAGCGTTCTGCTCATCATGCATATTGCAGCTATGAATGATCTTTTTTCTTACTCTCCTAAAAGCACTCACAGCCCCAACTCAGATTGGGACCGTCACACTCTGGAGGAGAGGGGTAAACATGCGCACTCCCCCTGCAAAATTCCAGCCTTGCCTCCAGACTCCAAATGGGGCTGCTTCTCTTTTGTTTAACCCAGGGGGGAAAACTGTGTGTGAGAGAGAGGGGGGGGGAGAAAGTGGGGAGGGGGAGGAGTTGTTGTTGTTCAGCCCCCTTCCTCCTGGAGCACCATGGTCCCTCCCCAAATCAGGGGCCCATGCAAGAGAAAGAAAACCTGCTGCACATAATCAGCAGGAAGTTTCCTTTGGCCACTGACTGGGGTAGAACACAGGATTCTCAGCACGGGAGAGGAAGAGGAAACCAGCACTTACAGGAAGGTGAGGCGTGAGGCAACCGGATTCACTGAGACAGGGACAGGGTAGAAAAAGCAGAAGCCAAGTGAGAGGAGCCCGCAACGGGCAGGATGCAACAGGAGGAAGAACCAGCAAAATCCTGGGAGGATGAACCTGCTGCCAATTCAGAGTTGTAGAAAAATGTAACGGTTTACACCTAAATGCACCAGCTGCCAGAAGGAACTGTTCTGCCCCATCTCTTGTTGAGCCTTGGCCACCCTGTACTGCTTGCCCCCTGCTGAAAGCATTCCCGTGCACCCCTCCCTTGGTGCAGGAGCTCTCACCAGAAGGAGGCAAAAGGCTTGGGGGGCTGGGCTTGATTGTCGGCATCCCTTTTCTCAGAGGTGTGCTGCACCTTTCTCACCCTGCTCCTCCGCCTCTGCTTCGGCTTCCTCCAGTTCTCGTTCCAGCTTGACTTCCTGCAGCTGCTCTTCTTGCTCCTTCTGCCCTTCCTCCTCCAGATTCTCTTCTGAGCTCTGCATCCCATCATGCAGTACCAAAACAAGGGGGGAAAAGTGGTGGGGAGAGGAAGGAAAGGCGGGAACACTTGTGAGACTGACTCGTGGTTATGCTACTTCATCCACACAGGCTTCACAAGCAGTGAGAATCCGGCTCTGCTAAGAACTGCAGTTTGAGGTTTAGGAAGCCGCTGTAGCATCGTGGCTCCTAGATTGAACTATAAATCAGGAAGTCCCCAATTCAAATGTCAGTTCTCCTGTGAACTCACCAGATAAACAACTCCCTTCTCCCTCAGCCTCCCTGTCTACAAGATATTTACGTGTATGGGGATAGTAGTATACATAACAATAACTTTTTTACAGGCTTCCTCAACCTCATGTCCTCCAGGTGCAATTCCCACTAACAGCCATACTAACAAAGGAGTCCAACGCATTTTGCAGGCAGCAAGTTGAGGAAGCTGTGGCAAGCATTACAACTAGATCACGAAAGTTACGTGCGCTGAGAACCTGAGAACTATTCAAAGGTCCAGTAATACTGATGTTCACTAGCTGTTGGCCTAGGTCTTGTTCCACAAAATTCAACTTGTTCTGGAACATACAGCTGCAGACCATCAAGTATACATCACCTAAGAAGATGGTCATTTGCTGATGAATGTGTGATCCTCATCTGCTACATCCTGGTATCTATCAAAGGAAAGGGTACCAAAACAGGCTGCTTGTCCCCACCCCTTTCTCTCTCCCCTGCCTTAAAAAGGGACAAGCACAGGTAAATGAAGTCATTTGCAAATGGACACAGACTTTGGAGCCAGATGTCAAACCTCCTCATCGAACAGGAAGGGATACCTCATGGCCCAAAGCAAAGGTGCCTGTCTTTAGCACATTGGCCATTTGGCATCTGGAAAGACAGCAGCCAAGAAAATGAGCAATTTAACACATGGGATGCTCATCTTTGCTCACCTTGACTTTTCGGCTGGGCTCAGGACACAGGGCACTGGGCGAGCCACACAGCTCCTTCGAGACCACACACAGGAACTCCGACTGGTCCTCATTCCCGTAATTATAGGATGACCCGATATTCACCAGCTGGAAAGCATAAAGGAGAGAATGCTCACGACTGCCAGAAGGGCAAAGCTATGTGCAACTGCCTGCTCTGACCACCTCACCTCATTGCTTATTCCATGTGTGTGACAGCCGCTGGGACCCAGTGAATTGAATTATCCTGCTTCTCTTGCTGAAGACACGCAGGCAGAGAGGAGCACTTGAGCTGAGCTGACCAGGGAAGCCCACCTCAACAGCAACAGTGGGCCACTTCAAGCTGGTCACATCTGGGAAGGAGCCGGAGCAGCAGGGTGGCAGGGAGAGCGACATAAGGGAAGACAGGCTGCCGGAAGGTGTGCAGGAGGGCAGAGAGGGGACTGCTGCCACGACAGACACTGGAGGAGTGCCCCACCCAAGCCGGGAGAGCTGAGCATCCCCAGGGGCAACCCTAGGAAGATGGCAAGTGCATCAAAACTTGGGCTTAGTTCCCGCCTCCCACCCCCCGAGGGACCTGAAGAGTCCCAGCCACTGCTCGATCTGGACAGCAACTCCCCTAGAAATGGGGCGACATCCATTGAAGGCAAACTTTGAAGTACTGCCACTTGGAAGGCCAGTATTTCTAAAGCGGGGAGGGGAACATGGACATGTTTTAAAGACGGGAGGGGAAATAATTTCTGACCCTAAGTTGTAAGTGCTGTGACTCGAGGAAAATGGCTTATAATAAAAAGCTGACTGCACTTACTTGTGGACTTGTGTAATTATGGAGGCCCTGGAACAAGGTGGGTTTACCAGGCCCCGCTGGGGGTCCCACTCACTGGGTGAATGACGACGAAAGGTCTAGACTTTAAATGGGGAGGAGAAGGGATGGGGTAATGGGCATGGCAACTATGTAAGGGAAAGGGAACACAATGCAAGCAAAAACACCTTGCATACATTGTTTTCCATAGGAATGAATGAATCCATCAATGCTGGGGGGTTTTCAGTTTCAGCCTTTTTTCAGTCCTTGGTGTGCTTCTTCATCAGTTTGCATGCTCCTTATAAAAGTCCATGTGAAACTGCATTGGCAATTTTGTGAGCATCTCTCCTAATAAGCCATTTTAGGTTATTAGGAGCTTTGCTTCATGCATACAATTTTTTGTAAGTGATTTCCCCTTATTTAATTTGCATTTGCGCTTTCCCCACAAAAATATGGAGAATTTTGTGCATTTTGTGAACAATTTCCCCTAACACACGCATCAGTATTTGGAGAACCATACCTCAAAATTATGAGAAGCACAAGCAAGGGCAAATGACTATGTTCCGGTTCACGTAGTTATTTGGCAAGCATGAATCTGGCATGGTTTTATCAGAATGTGGACTGGACAAACCTCTGCCCCCCTCTTATGGTGGCCCTGCAATCAGGAATAGCAGCTTCCCATGTCGGACTGAAGCTATTTTTAATGCACAAGGTACAACCAACTCATGTAAAATCAAACAAAACTGCTTTGCGGAAGCAGCTGAGATAGGAATGAATTCTGGAGCCAGCAAACTAGAACCTTCCAAATGTTTTGGACAACAATTCCCATCAATCTCAGGCAGGATGGCCAATGGAAGTGAGTTATGGGACTTGTTGTCCCAAACATCTGGAGGACACTAAGCGGCTTCTGCATCTTCCCCTATTATCACAAAACCGTGCAAAATGGAAGCTATGATGTACCACAAGCCAGCTTGAGCGTTTTGTTTTTAAAAGGCAGCAGAGGAGTTAAAAAAGACAAATTTAGACTTTGTCTAAATACTGCTCTAGTACATTTTGTTTGGGTAAGATTGGGAATACTGGAAATGTAAACACACACATTTTTCAATTCTAAAGAAAGCTCCATTAACAATTTATGGCTGCAGTCTCATGCATTCTTACCAGAGAGAGTCCCAGTGCAAGCAAGGGCACTTACTTTTGAGTAGACATGCACAGATTACATTAGATGCATCCTACCTGGCAAACTTACACATGTCTATTCAAGAAAGAAGCCCAGGGAGTTCAATGGGACTTGCATGCAGGTAAGCCATGTATGTGTGTCTTTGTGTTCCTGTGCATGCACCTCTGAAGTGATCAACTATACGTGTGTCACCCAAAAATAGCCCCAGGGACAGGTTTGATGTGACTGCAGGTCCTTGTTCTGTCCCGAAGAGGCCTATGGGCCTTTCTATAACCTGCTATTGTCCCTGTCCAGAAACTGTATTTATGGTTCTTTGTTGTGTGAGTGAATATTCTCAGTCCTTAAAGCAGCTGTTCCCGATTTAAAGACCCCAGACATGGTCAGACTACAACTCCCACCATCCCCAACCATGTAGCTTGGGATCATGGGAATGTGTGGTGCACTGTTTGAGCATGACCCAGCCCTTCCTGCACACCTGTTCAAAGCGCCATCCATCTGACATGGTGGAAACCATCTGGGTGAGCTCCTCCTCTTGACACTGCAGCACCCGGTACACGTGCTTTGGAGGCACCTAGAAGCAGCACGGAAAATGACAGGCAGGAGCCAGACAAGAATGGATGTGCCCCCCTTGGCAGGTTCCTCATTAGCGAATGATGCCGACCGGCCTTGCTTTGCACCCTCAACAGCGGGTAACAACAGGGAGTGCTCCAGCACATCAAAGGTGGGGTGATCACTACATGTTGGCACACAGGGTGCATGTGCATGGCTTGAAAGCTAGAAGCCTTTGGCGTTAGGGTCTGAACTCAGCAGTAGAACGCTCTGTACACAGAAGGCTTCTGCTTGCAGGCAGGCAGGCACAGCTGGGAAAACCCTTGGAGAGCTTCTGCCAGCCTGGAATGAAGAACCATAATACTTCCAAGGGGCAACAGCAGCCACACCTGTGACATCAGGGATGGAGAGCTGCCTCTGGCATCACTGGGTACCAGGGATCCACATTTGTTCGGGCATCGCCTTCCCATCGCAAGGTCCAGCTAAGCCCCATGACCAAGATCCATCTGGCTCGGCATACCTCTTGCCTTTCCCCATTGGGGAGAATACAGGGACAGGCAAAGAATTTGGCAGAAACGCAGCTAGCAATTCTCCAGCCTCCACTTCTCCCAGAGAATGGCTTCACCCCTGCCCCATGCCTTCTTCCTCCACTGGGGACAACAAAGAACAGGTGAAGCCCTTGGGACACAATCCTTCTTCCCAACCTCTGCCCATCTCCCTGAGCCCCCATTAGCCTCCAAGCTGAGGGCAGGGTCTGGGAAGGGGAACATCTGGGGCCCACAGAGGGTGCTCAAGGCTATATGCACCAGGTGGGAAAAAATAACTCCACAGGCCAGAAAATTCCTCCTACCTGGTACAGATAACACTGAGCCAGATGAGCAACCTAAGGTGCAACCCCATGCATGTTTAGACAGAATGCTCAAAGGGAATGCTGGGAGTTGTAGGACTTGTTTGTGTCTAAACATGCACAGGATTGCATCCTGGGTCTACTTCCAGTCTGTAGCAGTTTTGCATGTATTTAAGTATAAGCCCATTCCTTCCAATTTCCACATCAATCTGCAATTTTTGAAGGAAAAAGCCCTGCAAAAATTGGCATTCATTTCTTCCACATTGGCTCTCCACATGCTCTTTTGCTAATATTTAATACATTATTTCTACATTTTAATATTTAATTTAATACAGTTAAACATAATGTAAAAGAGCCAGTAAATATACACACTTTTTAAGCTGAGAACTGCTGCAGTGGGATTCTAATGCATGCATTCATCTGGGATGGGCAAATTAAGTTAAAATTTGCATCATACACAGCTTTGCATCATCATCATCCTTGGCTTCCTATGTAAATCATTCTTTCAGGCCTCCCACGCCTCTCACAGGAAGGCAGCATGTTGGAGTGGGAAGCACTGAGCAGGCTAGAGATTGATTCAACATAGCAATGGGACCCTCACTTGCCAGCAGAGGCCTTGCTTCATGTGTGGAAGGTCGTGAGTTCAATCCCCACCAGCACTTTCAGTTAAAAGAACTGAGCAGCAAGTGAAATGAAAGACTTCAAACCAAGAGCCCCTGCTGTTCAAAATATAAACTTTGACTGGATTCAGATGACTTGATACTCCAATCGCAAGGGCTGAGTGTGGGTCGTTCTTGAAATGTGGGTTGTTCATGAAACATGTGTTATCATGTCTGCACCCAGTTATGCCAGCAAGCCATGGCTTACTAAGCATAAACAACCCATGAAGAGAATCCATAGTTGCTTGCCAGATTTTGAACTGTGGGCTGTTCAGCATGATTTTTAAAACTTGCTATAATGCACAGCTTAACAGCAACCCATTCTCAACCCTTGAGTATGGGTTATTGTGTTTTCTGAACCCAGTCACTGGGACAAGTAGCCTGAACCTGGGTCAAGACATTTCTGTTTGGAAGGCAAAGCCCCTTTCAAGGGCCAGACATTGTGAACACTTCCTTTTAATCTCATGCTCCCTGATCTCCCCCTCCCCACCTCCCATATTCTCTCACTTTGCAAGCATTCCTAGTGGATTTCAAGAGCATCCCTCCCAACAATTATCCTTTTATCCTTTTCTGTTTTGCTATTAACACAGTAACCCAGGATCCGGGATAGCAAGCACTCAGAGATGAAGCCTTAAGGGATTCAATCTGTTCCTAAAAGGATGCCCCACTTTCTCAGTTCTGCAAGATTTACTGATCATCGATGCTCACGCAGCAGCCCTTTCAGGGAAACGGCATGCCTCGACTGCAGTCTCCCTTCTCTTTCTCTTCCTCTCACAGACATATATTGCTTACTATAATGACATCTCTAAGTGGCTGGACAGAACCTTCCTCAACCTGGAGCTTTCCAGAGTGCTGACCTACAGCTTCCATTATCCCCAGGATGCTCATGCAGTCTGAGGCTAGTGGAGCCTACAGTTCCACATAACTGGAGCATGCCAGGTTGTGGAAGGCTGATCTTATGCATGTAGTTCTCCAACTCTTTTTCCTCCCATACACCTTCTGCAGCCACACCCACCACACCTGTGTTATAGTGTAGTCCTTTTCCTCCAACCTCTCCTTGATTAGTCTGATCAGAGACCCGATGTTGTAGAATTCAGCTTCTTCCAAAATCCCTTGAAAGAGCACAAAAGACAGAGAAGTGAGCTGCCATATGGTCATGCTGCTACAGGTAAAAATATGAACATTTTGTTATCATAGTCATTCTATATTTAGGAGACTTGTACTAAGCCAGAATTCAACTTCCCGGGAATCATATCTTTTTTCTTTAAAAAGAAAACACAGTTCCGGACTTCTGATGATCAAGTAGATCTTTATATATGTGGGCAACAGTTGCTGAAATCTCAAATGCCAAGGAGTTTGTTCGATAAGGTTTCCAAAACATGAATGACGCTTCAGTGCTCTGCAGAGCTCGCCGCTCCTCCCCACATCTTGCAAAATGAGTGCCGTTGTGCAAAATGGCAAATGCCACAAAGTAAGTCCCGCCCTTTCTGTCTTTTGTTGCCGGCTGGGAACTTTGTGCAGGCATAGTGGGGAGTTCCTAAGGCACGCTGCTCCATGTCAAGTGGGAGCTCAGACAAAGGATTCCATCCAAACAGTCAGCTCTGCGGGACCATACAGAGAGCTACCCTGTTGAATGCTGGCCGCAGCTGGGAAGCCCAAGGCATAAACAAGCAACAGCCCTGTTCTGCCCACATGGTTTTCTTCAGCATCTACTGCTTGGATAAAGTTATCACAGTGCCTAAAAGTAGACCTGTCAACCATGAATTAAAACTCCTGTACTGACCACAGCAGCCATACATTTGCAATCATGGTTTTTTGGTGATTTCACCAGCCATGCAATCATAAATAACCCAAGTCCAAAAATGCTCCATCTGAGACTCAGGAAAGCATCTGCCAGTCGAAAGAGGACGTCTGCAGAATTTGTAAGCACCAAATCAAACAGAGCCAGCCAGGAGATATGCAAGTCTCTTGTCTTGTAGCAAAGACAGACAGGGTGGGCCACCACTGAGCAATGTTCAAACGGACTTGTGACAGTCCCCTTGGCTACGGTGCTCAAGGGTGACACGTGTGGAGAGACGTAGGCGTGATTGAGGTAGGAGGCCCCCACTGGTACTACAGACTCTATCACAATACAAAGCTTCAACTTATGGGTCACAATTATTGAAAGGGGCATCAAGCAGGTAACACTGGACCAGAAAACCAGTGGTCTGAATGATGGTTGAAATACATATTACATTAATTCTGCTGTATCCAATGGAGCATGTTTTTCTTTACCTTTCTTCTTTTTAAACTCTCAGATAAGCGTACACAGCTCCAATTTGGACTGGACCCACACACTGCATACTGGAAAGGGAGGACGGAAGCCTCCCCCTCAAAGATACATACTTGTTCCCCAAATCCCCACCACCACTGTGGATTAAAAAGAAAAAAGCCTTGACTGACACCAATGGATCCTCTGTCTTATTTAATACCCCTCATCCCTTATTAAAGAAAAATTTGGGGGGAAATGGGGGAAGTTTAATCCTCCCTTCCAGTGCACGACAGTCTCAATCTGAATCAGGGCTGCATGAACCTACTGCGGAGTAAAAGAAATATTACATATTAACCAACTGATAAGTTGTTTGCCTCTTCGCAATAATCCGTTGCAGGGACTAGATAACCAAAATTGTTAAGAAGCAAGATTATAAATCTATGAACCACTTAAGCTTAAAAATAAGCATTCCCTCTATATCCTCTGTGGAGAAGGAAAGAAATATATATTTCTTGGTCAACTATGTCTCAGCCACGACTACCTCCATCTGTTAGAGAAAAGCTAAGCAGCTGCCAATGCAATGCTGCCAACAAAGAAGGCAAATGCAGTTTTACAGCATATCATTTAGGAGGGGGAAGCCACAGAGATGAAAAAGTATGAATGCAACTGCACCCAGTAATCTAGGAAGCTTCGCAGATATCAGTTACACACTCTTAAGTGCAAAGAAGAGTTATATGCACATGAAAAGAACCAAGTACCAAAGATGGAGATTATGCTTTGAAAATATTTGGAGGTCAGGGGAAGAGATGCTCCTATTGAAGAAGATCTAGTTTGGTTAAATTGAGTCTGTGAAGGGGAATGAATCAAGTGTCCCAGTATTAAATTTAAGCTTAATCAAGAGAAAACAGTTCGCTTTCTTTAAAAATGTGATTTCAGAATTAAGATATATACAAGAAGGAAGCACATCATTAAAACACATATAAATGCTGACTTCCTGTTAGCGAACAGTGACCATACAAAAATAAAATCAGATCTAGATCATAATGGCCGGAAGGCCCACAAGCAGCCCGACCTCAGAACTGCACTTCACCCTGAGAGCTACTCCTCTCCACGCCCCAACCCTGCTCCAGCAAAGCGAGGTCATTCTTTTCCTGTCATTGCTCCTAGCAAGGAAAGAACAAGCTGTAACAGGAATCCTGGGACCTGTGCAGATGTGTCTGTATGCCTGGGCACCCCCCACCCCCCTCCAAGCCAGCATCACATACAGCCCTTGGGCAGGAAAGGTGTTGCATCCATGCCGTAAGCACACAATAATGCTTCACCCCTTCCACATCGGTGATAATATCATTCTGCAGGATTAAACTAAACTGGCTCTATTTTAAATACATTAAAAAAAGGAAAAGGATGGCTACTGACTTGGAATTTATCATTCCAAATACCATACATCTTTCAATAAATTCTCAAGCATCTGATTTGCCTATGCATGAATACAACAGGTATTATGCAAACACTGAATATATACCATATACTGAAAACACAGTCTGATGGAGAGGTGATCCCAATTCCTATTCTAGTAAGAAACTATAGACACTTTTACAGCAATGAATAGAACAAACTCCTACTTTCTATAAAATCCTTAAGATAATTCAGCATTAGCAGTACTCTTGCAAGATCAACGAGTCTCCACACTGCTAACAGCACAATATATCTAGAAGTAATCTTAAAGAATCTCTAACCTGCCAGTTGCACAACATAAACAGGATTCTGTGTCAAAAAGGAGAAAATGGTTCTGTGTACCCAAGCTATCCAAAACTCCAACAAAGCCATACTAGAGTAAAAAAGTCTAGAGAAAGGGGATATGGGAAGTGTGGATTAGCGAGGTGCAAAAAGGGCACAAATAAGTAACTCATGAAGGATTCTTCCCATTCCAGGATGATACGCCCATGCCCTGGATTAACAGGTTGTATTTCCCTGCAGCATCACTGATAAAGTTCAGCCACTTATCTCATGATGTATTCTTGTTAACTTTGTTCTTCAAATGATTCTTCTGGGTGGCTGTAATCCAGCAGCAGGCAGAATTCTGGCTTGTTAGATCCATCCACTTTGGATTTTATTAAACCCATGCAATATCCATCAACAAGAACCAGGTATAAAGGATATGCATTCACAATTAAAGAAAAGGGTGCGTCAGAGTGTGGGAATTTGGATTTAGTACAAAACCTATTAATTTTAAAAAATTACTATAGGAAATAATCATCACCATAGAAAGAGAGGAAGTGAAAGGGGACTGAGGGAAGGCCTCCAAAGCAGGCCGTCTTGCCCCACACATCTGGAGAGGGAAATTCTGAGTGGGATGCTGTGAACTGGTGTCCTGCAACAGCCGGGGGATGAACACAATGACCTCCAACTCTGCTATTCTATGATCCTTCTGGAATTTCCTTGCTGCAAAGAGGAGGCTATGGTGAGTTTTGGTCAGGGAGCAGGGGCTAGAGATATTTGTGGCTTCTCCACTTTCACAGGGGTCCTGTGCTCTAACCCCCATGAATGTGGAGGGCTGACTTACATACAAATTTGACTGAAAGACAAATTTCCGTTTTCTCAGCAACAGAACAAATTTGTAACCTGGAGACTGACTGTACCAGGACTGACTCAATCTTGCAGCCTACTAAAGCTCACCACTGATTACCCTATGTTCTTTTCAGTCCGTTAGTCTAATTTAGAAAGGAAAAGCCATTTAGTTCTTGCTACTATTCAGCACTCAGGTATCAAAAACACTTGTCAGTCTAGTGCAAGAGACCAACAGATCTTGACCTAGCCTCTCCCCATTCCTGTACTTCTCACAGCATATGTCTGGAAGCATGGGGCCACATGATCTTATTCTATGGAATGAGACTTATTCCTTTGGAATACTTTGAGAGCATTCCTTGTGGAAGGCAATGATTTCAGACAGACCTCAGATAACCTTTGAGGCCTATCGTTATCCCTTAAGTTACTCCACTCCAACAAGGGAGGCTGAAACAGATGTTCTCCCTCTGTCTCTAAAGGTGATGCACCCACTTGGGCATAAACTTCATTAAAAAATCATCACAGCAGCCACACTGCTGTGGTTCCTACTCCAATTGCCATGCTGGAATAGCCTTCAGGATGTCAGCATGAGATGTAGCTCCTTGCAACACAGGCAAATAAAAATTTGCCTTTCCCCTTGTCAGTCTGTCATTATTTGCATCTGCCTCCTCCCCAGAGGTGCACGTGACCTTTGCTAGCATGCAGTGGGATAGGCTCTTAATGAACCCACAGAGGAATCTGAACAATGCCTAGGAACAAGAAGTCTGTTATTAGCCAGAACCCGCCACCTTAGCTGAAACGTCATGCCTTGCAACATCTCCTTCTCCCTTCTCAGCAAAACTAGATGAATAACAAGCGTTGGCTCCTAGGAGCTAGAAATGCACTGAAGGGGGAGATCAAGAAGCAGGCTTCCCTACATTGCCACAGAAGGCTACTGTTGTCCTCAGTAAAGTAACCTTTTCCTCTCCCACCCATGTACACCTCCCAGATACAGACTGGGGATAGCGCAAGAAGTTGTGCTATGAGTTCACAGTGTCATGATAAGATGCTGTGATATAAGATGCACACACCAAACCACCTATCAGTAACTTCCTGCTCACAGAACACAGTTCGTCCCGTGCAAGCATGTTCTTATTTTGCAATTAAGATGATCTTAAAGGCAAGCGTTTTAGAAAACAACTCCTTTCTGATTTCCTCATTTCCCCTCCTTCCCCACTCCATGAAGAAGGGAAGCCATTAGGAACAGAAGACCACCACAGATTACTGGGGTTTTGGTGTCAAAAACCAATCTTTTCATTCCCACTCAACCATAAAGCCAACTGGTCACTCTGAGTCAGCCACAGACTCTCAGCCCAACCTATCTCACTGGGTTGCTGCTGTGGGAATAAGATTGAGAGCAGGAGAAGAATAATACAAACTACTTGGAGTTCTTTAAGAAAGAAAAAAGGCAAGATACAAATCTAGTAAGTACATGATCAACCAATAAAAACAAGATAGGCCACAATGATCGACCAGCTGCACAGTGTAGATTCATCTGAACCATGAGCACTTGGAATAAGGGCTAAACCTTTCTATTTTTAGAGGCTGTGGAATTTCCCCTTCTTACTAAGAGTACAAAACTTTAAACATTTCAAGACAAGAACAAGTATATTCTCTGGGATTAAAGCATACTGTCACAGAATAATATATTTGTTCTTTTTAGAATACTATAAACAGAACAACTGCAAATGTTGACATATCCTGCACATGTCAGGGAGGTAGTCTTTTAGAAGAAGACAACAAAGAAGGAAGAGGAGCAGAAGAAGTAGCAAAATAAGAACAAGCAATAGCACTGCATTTAGGGTGGATGTTAGTAGCATGGCAAGAAAATCTTTCCTTTGGGACTGTAATTTCGCAGTTTGTAGGATACCTGCAGGCTTCCTCAACCTGTTGTCCTCCAGATGTGCTCGGATAAAACAACCATTGTCCCCATGCTGGCTAAGAGTAATGTAAATTGTACCCCAACATTAATGGGGTGCCTCAATTTGGGGAAGGCTGGACTGGTTCACCCAGATCTTAAGCATCAGGTCAGCTCACAACCTCTGAATACTCATTTCCTTCCACTGCCTTTCAAACAACAGACAATCACTGTCTAGGTGTTGTAACTTCCAGATCTGAAGGCTTACCTTCCTCAGCCATATCTTTATCCAGTACTAACTTTCCATGTCGGAGGAAATTTAGAATTGGCCCAAAATACGTTGGATCCCGATCGATGAGGTATGCACCCGTTTCATCCTAACAGGGAAAAATGCAAAGAACAGAGTAAATCCTGTCTCACGACATTTTAGAGTGTTTTAAGAGTTTCAGCAAGCTTGTGGATTGGGGTGATCAGGTAGACACTAATGTGGCTCACAGCTAATCCATATCCATGCTTTGCCTACTGAATTTTGGGTTGTTATAATGTGTGAAAGTGGCTGTGCCAACAAACTGTGGTTTGCTTACCATGAACAACGCAGAAAGAGAACGTATGATTTGTTGCTGAATTTGAATGCAGGGTGGCTTTAACCATATTATGTGTGAAACCAGAACTGTGGATTGTATGTGGCTAGACACTGCAGGCAAAAGCAGTAATAAACAAACAAAATCGTTACTATACATGCCAGTACTATAGTGTCACAAAAGCATTTGAGATACAGGGATGGAGGGGGTATAGGACGAAGGAAAGATACAATCCAGGGATTGGAAAAAAACACACAAACTACAGTTTGTTCAATTGCCTGCCAGAGGAACCTCAGGCAGGGTAATGAACCACCAGTTAAATCAACCATGGGCTACCTTTGTGTGTGAAACAGTCCATTGTGTTCCAAATGGCTTTTGACAAAATCCCTAACCAAAACATCATCAGTGGTCTGGGAACCAGTGACCAGGAATAAATGGCTATAAGAGTATCACAGAATTATAGATTAGTAGAGCTGGAAGGGGCCAAGAAGGTCATTGCCTTTTGGTACTGTCCATGGGGTTTTCGCAACTAACAACAACAACAACAAAGGTCATTGGGTTCAATCCTCTGCTGTTGCAGGACACCAATTTACACCATTGCACTGGTATCCAGACTTTTTTTTTTCATGTCTCTAGTGCAGGAGAGCTCACAACCTCTCTAGGCAACTGGTTCCACTGTTGTCTTGCTAAAACAATTTCTCTGAGTAGGATTGTTCCAAATTTTTTATTGGGAAGACTGGCACTTTCTAACTTGTTCATCAATGATCTCTTAGAATGAAAAAGGCAGAATGCTGGGGAACTACTGTATTCATGTGCAGCTTGTGGCCCATAGGCATCTGTTTGGTCACCTGTAAAATTTGAAAGTAGAAATTTTAAAATTAAAAGTTATGTTTTTGTTTTCTCTCTGGGTGTGATGAAATATTCTTTCAGGCTGCATTCATATATGCAGCTACTTGGGAGTAAGTCCAATTAAATTCACTAGGACTTACTCCTGAGTAAACATCCATAAGATTATGCAGAAAGAACCATTAGCCATACTGGCTGGGTAGAAATCATAATACAAAACAGCGGGGCAGAAGTCAGCTATTTAAACCAGCCCTAAGACCACACCAGGTACCAGGCTAAACTTAATTTCCAGGCTGTGCCATATTAGCCTTAAGTCTACCTTGGAGACAAGAGTTTGCCCTAAAAACTTGGCCACTCTGGGTTCTTGCCAAAGACAACAGTTCCATAGCTTTTGTGACTCTTTGTCTATCAGTTTCTATCAGGAAGTTGTGCATGTTCAAGATAAAAAAGCACCGAACAACAAAATCAGCTGTCAGGGGAATTTATCACTACTCAGAAACACAGACGCCCCAGGAGAAACCAATAGCAATAAACACGTGCAACGGCTTGGTGCCGGACTTTAGTTCTACTTAGACTAATCCCACTGAAATCAGTGAGGCTAACATATGTTCCATTGCTTTCGATAGGTCTGCTCTAAGCAATGCTGAAGATGGATGCAACTCAACACATCTCAAATATATTTATTTCTTTTCGAACTCGGTGTGCCTCCAGTTCAATTCCCTCCCATACTACGGACACTTCCCTAGGATTAGCTTCCTTTAAAAAGGCTTAGGGAGTAGTTCTACTCCTGTTAAACCAAGAAAAAGTCCCACAACTCCCAGTATTCCTCAGGACAGCCGCTGGTTGAGGATTTAGGACTTCTTCCTGTCTCAGTCAGCATAGGATTGCGCTCTTGCGCGTACTGCCGTTCCGGCCAGTCCCTTCCACATTTCCTGGATGCAAGGCAAAGAGATCCTAAAACTAATCGCAGGGTCCTGTGGAGCTCTTTGCCAGCAAAGCTGCTGCGTGTGACTTTGCAAAAACTGGATGCTTCTCACGAGCAAGGCTTGACCACTGCCGGCGAGCGAAAACGGGGGAGACGTGGCGCCCGCGCACGGCTACTCCACAGAAGCCGCAGCGTCCGAACGGGGCGAGTCCTTTGCCCGCCTCTCCTGCCCCGGCGCGGGTGGTCGCGCAGCCGAGCTTCGGCGGCTCACCGGGACGCGCACACGCTCGCGCGAAACTGAGCCGCTTACCCGATCCGACGGCAGCTCCTCTCCCTGGCACAGGCGGCAGAGGAAGGATTTCTGCTCGCGGCACAAGGTCTGCCGGGTGGTTAGGAAAATCGTGCCCCCCACATTCAGCCTCACCCACTTGCTTCGGCTTCCGGGGGATAACGGCTGCTGGCAGCTCTCCCACGCGTAGGAAGTAGCCTGCGCCTTCTCCCCGCGGTCCATCCTCATCTCCCTCGCTCTCTGAGCGTCCCTCCTACTTTCAGAAAAAACAGGCGGGACGCAAACTGCAGGTGCTGGCTGCGCTGGAGGACTCTGGGACTTGTAGTTTTGGCAAGGCGAGGCCGCCTTTCTTCAAGTTGAGGAGCCGTGGCTTTGGTGTGTTTTGAGCAAGTTGTGCGTACAGACCACTCGGGACTGACGAGCGCTGGCTGTACTAGCTAGAACTTCATAATGGAACACTGCTCTGCACCACTTCCGCGAACAAAGAAGAGCCAGGCTAGCTCAGGCCAAGGGTTCATCCAGTCCAGCCTTCTGTTCACAGTGCCAACCAGCTATTCACAGCTGTTGGACATGAGCACCATAGTACCCAGGTTCTCCAGCAAATGGTGTACTCCTCTGTCACTGGAAGTTGCATATCGCCAGCGAGGTTATTAGCCGCTGATAGCCTTCTTCTCCCCAGGTTAGCCTTTCTCCAGTCCCCTTGCCCAAACTGCCCAAATTAGAGGCCATCAGTACATCCCACTGAAGTGAATGCCACAGTTTAATGATGCACTGTGTAAAGAATCCATTTCTGTGTCCTGTATTTGTCTCCCTTTCCAGTTCCTCTACATCATGCAGAATTCTGTATGTCTCGATCATTACCTGCCTTTTTTCTAATCTAAACAATCTGGATGTTGCAATCTTTCCTCAAAGTGGACTGTTGCAGCCCTTTGATCACTTGACTTGCCCTTTTCTGTGCCTTTTCTAACTCAGCAGTAGCTTTAGGTGCAGCGACCAGAGCTCTACACAATATTCTAACTGTGATTTCACCATAGATTTGTATAATGGCAGCACAGCACTGGCAAGTTTCTTCTCAATGCCTTTACTGATTATGCCTAACATGCAGTTTGCTTTTTTCACAGCAGCCACACAAGGGCTGACCTTTCCAGCGAGCTGTCCGTCATAGCCCCAAATGACCTTTCTTGGTCAATCACTGCTAGCTCAAATCCCATCAGTTTACACTTGAAGTTGGCATTGTTTGCCCCAGTGTGCATCACTTTAATGATGTTCTCAACCAGTTTACCTATGCAGATGTTAAGCTAACTGGCCTGCAATTTCCCAGATGCTCCCTGGATCCTTTTAAAAAAATGGTGTTACTTTGCCATTCTCTGGTCCTCTGGTACAGAGGCTGATGTTGCATATTTTTGCAGGAAGGTCAGCAATTTCATAATTTGAGTTCTTTGGGTTCTTTTATTATCTAGACCCAGTGATTTATTATTTTTCAGTCTGTCAGAAAGGTTGAGAATTTCATCTTTTGTTACCAATGACAAGCCTGGTCTTGGTCCCTCAGCCTCTCTACCTGACTACACATATTCAGCAATATCTATGCGTCCTTTTTCCCTGCTGTGAACAGTAAATGGAAAAAATTTATTCAGCTTCTCTGGAATCTCCTTATCTTCCTTCAGTACCACTTTAACTTCATTATTATGCAACTGTCTGATTGCCTCCCTAGCTAGTTTCCTGCTTTTGATTTATTTAAAAAATTCTTTGCTGTTAGCTTGATGTTGCTAGAGATGTGCTCCTCCAAATGTTTTATTGCATTTTTTATTATCTGCTTGCCTCCCTTGTGCCAGTCGGTGCTTGCATTTGTTCTTATTTGGAGAAAATTTCAGTTTTCTGAAGGAAACCGTCTTTCTTCGAATTGTTTTCTTGACTCTGCTCATTGCCTCTGTTGCTGACCTCTTAGACTTGGTGCTACATTTCTGAAATGGTGGTAGATATATGATCTATCTCCGTTATTGTATTTCTGGGTAATTTCCAAGCATTTTGAAGGGAGTGAAGCCCCTTTCAGCTTCCTTTTTATCAGTTCCTTCATTTTAGAGACATTTCCCCTTTTGAAGTCAAAAGTCACTGTTTTGGACCTCTTTGCCAATCTTCCACTCAAATGTTTATTAAATCTGATAGTACGGTGGTCAGTGTTTCCAGTTGATTCAATAGTCCATCTTGTACTAGGTTTGGGGCAGCACCACCAAGGATTAAATCCAAGACTGCCTCCCCTCTGGTCAGTTCTGTGGCAAATGTTGTGACGGCCACCAGCTGCTCTGAAAAGAGATTTGACAAATTCATGCAGGAGGCTGTCACTGTAGGGTATATGCTACCTTCAGTATCAGAGGCAATAAGCCTATGTACCCCAATTGTTGGGGAACATGGGCAGGAGGATGCTGTTGCACGCATGTCCTGCTTGTGGTGTCCTGTGAGCAGCTGATCAGTCACAATGGGCACCGAGTGCTGGACTAAGCAGACCATTGGTCTGCTCTGGCTCATCCTGTGCTCTTCTGCAAGCTTTTTGATCACAGCTTATTTCTCACAGTGTGCATGTGGAAGGACTGCATTAGTGGTCACTTTTATGTTACTTCACAGCCTAACAGTGCAAACTCTAGACACATGTATTTTGTCTGTTGCAGCAGAAACAATGACAAACCTGGTTTCAATTCCCTTTGTTACTATGCTGGACAGGCCTGCCTGTGGCTAAATTTTCTTTCCAATACTGTTGTACTATTGCCATGTTTTGCAATTGCAGCAAGATGACCCAGAATCTTCTTTTTCTGTCTTACATGCAGTTGTTTCCCCATTTGCAGGACAGAACTGGTCAGGACAGGGCAATAGTTTCTCAAAGAAGTTACGTAACGTGGCTGTTGGTTACTCATCTGGCTCAAGGATTACTCTCCATCACACACGTAAACCCGCTCTTAAAAGCAACACCCTCCTTCATCCATAGTCACAAGTTTCCATTCTGATAATCAGTTGCTTGTCCTTAGTTATTTTAGTTCAGTGCTTTCCAAAGCACAGGCAAGACTTCCTTTGGCAGTATAAAAAATTACAGAGCCAAACGCTCCTTCTGATCCTGACCAGTAGGTGCTTTGTTTAAGCCAGTCTTTCCTGACCTGGTGCATGCTGGGAGATGTAGTCCAACACATCTGAAGGCTGTCAGGATGAAGAAGCCTCTCTTAAACTGAGCTGAGAAACCCTTTCAATACCATTGGCCCAGAAACAGCATGCTCTCAACTAGCCGACTGTGTGCCCTGTGTCAATTTTAAGACAACCACCCAGCCTTCTAGGTTTGCAAATCTATTGTTTTCTTAAGATGCATTCACAAGCTTATTTGGAAACTACCCACTTTCTTTTGCTTGTTGCTGTGAACTACTTCTTTTTTAAGTTGTATGAGATAGTGTATTCTAAAAAAACTTTTATTTTTTCTCTCTCTTGTTTGTTCTTCCTGGGAAAGGAGTGTATGAATGAGAAATAGGAAGACTCTGATACACAAAGCTGCACAAGGAAAGGGTCAGGGACTCATCCCCCTTCATGTCCTACTTCTGGGGTTCCAAGAACCTGGCTGATCATGTTGTGGAGGGGATGCTGGACTGGATGGATGCTTGTTCCATGTTCTTATATTTCCAGGTAAAATGTGCCAGCACCACTTGTCTAGTATAATCTCAGTGGAAAGGTTCAGCAGCAAGCCTCCCGTGTGCTAGTGGCTGGGCTATGAAGGGATGCGGTAACCAGGCAGACAGCTGGAAAAAAGGCAGAGAGCCAGTGAGGTGTGGTGGTCAGAGTGGTGGACTGTGACTCTGGAGATCCAGGTTACAGCTCCCCCTCAGCTGTGAAACTCTCTGGGAGCTTTTGGTCAGTCACTTTCTTTCAACCCAAGCTACATTGGTTGCTGGCAGGATAAAATGGGGAGGAGTCAGATAATGCACGCCAACTTGGGGTCCTTGCAAAAAGAAGAAAAGGCAGGGTATAAATAGAGAAAAGAAATAACATTAGAGTCAGAATAGATGTGAACAAACAGTAGAGATGAGAAATGATAGTCATGAATAGTGTCATATATCACTGCTAAGAAAGATGAGAACCACCAGCCCAGTCCGAGGCTTCAAAGGAATACCAGTTCCGAATTTGCTGGGAAATGGTATAGCATCATTTAGATGTGCAGTCACTTGAACCATTTCCCACTGATGGCCTCATCACATCCCATAATAGTTATTCATATTATAGCAGCCTTGCTATGCATGGTACTTTTCAGGGGACAAAAGGGCAGGGCCTGACCCAAAGGGTTAATCATCTGTAATCAGACACAGAAATGAAGACGATCGGAAGGGATAAGCTTGGGAAGAACATGAGTTATTTCATTTACAGGGACTTTGGTCTAGCTAGAGTAGTGCTGCCTTTTCCAACGGAGTATTACCCAGAGGCTTTCGACCAGTGGTGGCGAACCTATGGCACACATGCCACAGCGGACACACAGAGCCCTCTCTGTTGGCACACGAGCAAAGCCCCCCCAGCATCTCGTCAGGAACTGAGCATCGGAAAACAGCGCACATGGGGGCCATGCACAAGCTCGGAAGGAAGTGGCAGCACCAGGCAGTAACATCACGAGCACCGACTCATTAGCCGTGACTCGTCGGAGCATCCGCATGGCCAGTCAGTGTGCTGCCAAGGACATATATATATATATATTTGCTTTGCACTGGCTGTGAGGTATTTTTTTAAACTAAAACCTCAGTTTTCAGATTTTATTGTAGTGTTGGCACTTTGTGATGAATAGGTGAGTTTTGGGTTACAGTTTGGGCACTCAATTTCTCAAAGATTCACCATCACTGGGTTAGGGTTAGAAAAACAAGGTGTCCTAGTATGATTTTGATGGTTGGGATGTGTTTAGAATGGGCAGAAATGATGAGCAGCGCAGAAAAAGCTACTCAAGGAAGGCTTTTTCAAAATCGCATTACTTTCAATGGAAACTTACCCCTCTAGTAGGGTTAGGGGTGGGCACCAGGGTAGGGTTAGGGTTAGAAAAAGGAGGTGTCCCAGCATGATTTTGATGGTTGGAATGTGTTTGGAGTTAGCAGAAATGATGAGCAGCGCAGAGAAAGCTACTCAAGGAACTCTTTTTCAAAATCGCATTACTTTCGATGGAAACTTACCCCTCGATGAGGGTCAGGGGTGTGCACCAAGGTAGGGTTAGGGTTAGAAAAACAAGGTGTCCCAGCATGATTTGGATGGTAGATATGTCCTTAGAACGGGCAGAAATGATGAGCAGCGCAGAGAAAACTACTCAAGGATGGCTTTTTCAAAATCGCAGTTTTTTCAATGGAAATTTACCCCTCTAGTAGGGTTAGGGCTGTGCACCAAGGTAGGGTTAGGGTTAGGAAAACGAGGTGTCCCAGCATGCTTTTGATGGTTGAAATGTGCTTAGAGTTAGCAGAAATGATGCGCAGTGCGGAAAAAGCTACTTAAGGAACGCTTTTTCAAAATCACATTATTTTCAATGGAACCTTACCCCTCTAGTAGGGTTAGGGATGTGCACCAGGGTAGGGTTAGGGTTAGGAAAACAAGGTGTCCCAGCATGATTTTGATGGTTGGAATGTGTTTAGAGTGGACAGAAATGATGAGCAGTGCAGAGAAATCTACTCAAGGAAGGCTTTTTCAAATTCGCATTATTTTCAATGGAACTTTACCCCTCTAGTAGGGTTAGGGGTGTGCACCAGGGTAGGGTTAGGGTTAGAAAAACGAGGTGTC